AATGGAAATGAGAATGAACATGAAATTTCCCACCCGCTCTTGGGGGTTCTTCATTAGGTAGGGACGGCCTGAATTCGGAGAGATTGAAGCAATTTTCGTTAACCCATCCAATCCCACCCCCTTGAAGAATTTCACGACAATTTGTCGACGATGAATGAATGAATCAGTCATAATATGACAACATAACAACATAACAACATAACATAACATGGCCAACAGAAACAAATGTTGATTCTCAGATTAGCATCTTGGTATCACATTCAAACTTATTCCTCATTCCCATTCCCACCTGGGCATGACTTGAAATTACAGCTAGCTTACTCGTCAATCCATCACTCATTTGCATCCATCCTGTGATTCCTGTCTTGTCCTTCTGTCCGCATGCATTTATCTATCTACACTTCATTCCAATTCACAATCACATTCACAAGCTTGTTGAAGCCTACCCCCACCCCAAATCATACAATTTGATTCTTCCCGCCATAGCTCTAATATCAAATAACAGCTTACCAAATGCAGATTATCTATCCGTATCATATCATCAAATTACACAAGCCAACCGCGGCAAAAATCGAAATAATAATACTAAAAGCCAACATCATGGATTCGTGCACCCTTGGCGCGTATGCAAAAGTCACACCTACCTTACCTGCAGGACTCCGTCTAATCACGCTCCAACCTGACCTCTCACTGCAGTGCAGATATCCATTTCACATGTACTGGTGGGGACCATGCTCTTTGCTTTCGTATGTGAAACGCTACCTACCACGTTACCAACCTCCTCCTCCATCCAACATGCTCTCGACTTCTTTTGCGAACGTGGGGTTGTGGATTCGGATTCTTCATCTGATCAGTGATGATACACTAGCACTCTGTGGCTTACCGAACTTGCTGGAACTTTTACTTGGAAATCGTTTCAAAGTTCTCGTCATTTCGCATCGAGGCACGAAGGGTCTACAAGAAACGTGCGGGAAAAAAGTATATCTTGCATCGCGCAAGGCAAGTCATGTCACACACAGTCATATTTTGTCATATAGGGAATCCTAGATCTGAGCAGATAGATGGGCTCGTGATACCTTCACCTGGCAAAATCCCACCTTACCGTCCGGTTTATTGTGATCAAAAGGATTGGAACGGTCCTCTCACTGACGACATATTCGTTTCCATATACCAATGGGATACCTGGCAATTGATCCAAGTATCAATCGTGTGCCGGAGTAACACCTCGATCGGATCAGGAATATGAACCAATGATAATCCTGTCATGTAAATTGCAACTAGGATTTGACCGCTGGATTTCCATGAACTACCCCACAATCGACGAATGGGGTTTACCCCTCCTGAGAGAGAGAAGGCTTTAAAAGTACAGAAACGTGTCGGATTTCTATGTCTTCCATTCAGAAAGCCAAAGAACAATTGGATGAAAAGGAAGGAAGTTGTGATCCTCGAACGATGGCCTACCCTGCATTGACAAGCAAACAGCTTTTTGATCCGATTTTCAGTGTTCGCTTGCGGGAAGTTTAAGCATAGGATAGGAGGAGAGCCTGGATAGGGTGCTAAAAGCTATCTGTGCAACCTCTCCTACATAGTACATACACGATGATATTACTTCATCTATTATCTTCTCACCGCTGGAAAATGTGGCATTGGGTGTTGGCCAAAGATTGATCAAACATCTTGGGCGTTTGTGCAGTGTGCTGGCTCACCTCTCGAGTGGCAATCTAGTGATGCAAAATTGATATATGGAAACTGAAGAAAAAGAAGGAAGCTGAGTAAGGACGCTCTTACTGTACACCTTCTAAGATCATCTGACAGTTCATCATACTTCTTACTTGTGTTTCTACCAACTGTGCCCAAATATCCACCGGTTCATCATCAGCATTGACATCAGACCCAAAATTATACATACCTACACACATACCTACCTACATACATGCACACATACAGAGTACACCGCTGCCTGCCCCTTCACATCCTTTCGCTTGACTGCCTTTGCGTTTTTAGGGGTTAGATCTCATCTCATACCGAACTCAAATTCACCGCCCTACGAATCCTGCAAACATAAGGCCAAAAATGGGTCAAATCACGATTGCATCTGAATCAAAATCCGTCAAAATGCCTTTCAAAACGCAGTGAAAGTGTGTGCAATGCTCATCTGACAAACCGTGCAATGCCCTCTTCCAACAGAATTACCACATCTATGGCGATACGATCTTCATGTTCGTAATTTAATATCCCGTAATGATCCGTTTTATGTCTCTTCAGTAGTCGGTAAATGAAAACTACCTGTGAAGACACAGTTTCTTTCGAATAAATGAGATTTCTGAGTCTTGAGGGCTTGGTGAAACCGATTCAAGGGACAAATGTCAAGATTGCAAATGCCTTGGTGATTCAACGGTGGGCATTGGCATAAAAATCTTATGTAGTGCCACACCCGCTGAGAAGCTTGGCTTGTTTTGCTTATCTTGATACATGTAGACTTTTTCGTAAATCATTGCAAATGAATCAATGATCCCGTCTATCACATTTCATAGGGAATAGGGAGTTATCGATTTCATCACCTTGACTCAATTTTACTCGGTACAAAATCAGATCTCAATAACTAATTCTCACACGGTATCAAAAGCAACACTGTACCCTGTAGAGTACGAGTAGGTAATTAATCATAAGTCCTCTCTGGCTACTCTGGACCGTACCAGAGATCTACACATTCCATTCCCTCCTCCGGGGTGCTTCATCCGATCGGGCCATGAACGGGGAACTCCCCCATTTAAAATCTTGAGGACATATTTGATTTGATCTTTCATGATATGTTGATGGGGAGGGGGTGCACAAGGTTTATGAGTTTGCATTTACATTGAGACTAGCCTCGAATATGAGGGATTAATTTTGACCAGTGGAATTTTCAGGGATAGAGCGTTTTGGGCATGTGTACAGTGTGCAATGGATATTTGGCACTGGAGCTCCGAGGGGAGGACTGCAGAGTGGTGAAGTGGCTTTGAATATGGTTCCGTGGTTCCGCACTTGAGAGGGAAATGTTGGTGGCTTGGGGTGGATGGGGGGTCGTGTTTGCAGACTTCGTTCCGTGGTTGAGCTTGATGGATCCCCCGAGGTCAACTTGCTTGGGGGTTTGACACCGGGGAGTTGAAACTGGGAATGCGTTCTTTTTTGAGGGTTAGGTAGCGAGAAATGGAATGGATGGTTTCGGATACGGAGAATGTGTGGTTAGTAAGCGGATGAGTATTTGACTGCACGTGAGATGGATATGCGATGATGAAGACTCGTGATCTACGCGCACGTGAGTAGAGATTTGAGCTTGAAATCAATTCTCTCTCCATCAATCATTAACAGCTCTCTAGAATCAATAGAGAGTACCCTTTATCATTCATCGAATCCAAAGTCCAGATTTCCCACTTCTAAAAGTTCTTAACACGTGACCATCAATCAAGCTAAAGAAAATAAGTTAGCGAAAGCAACCCGACCTCAACCAGCAAGCTCCCGCCGCATATCAACCCCTCGTAGAAACCCACGTCACGTCTTTCAATTGATACACTCGACCCATCATGAACTCCATGCGTTTTGCTCGCGCCGCTCTGCGGGTTCGTCCTACGGCTTTGAAAACTCCTGTCTTGCGCAGAGGGTATGCTGAGGCTGTTGCGGAGAAGGTCGGGAATTCCCGTTTCTGGTTTTTTTTTTTTGGTTTGGGGGTTTGGGGGAGGAGGATGAGGATGGGGAGTTTTGGGGAATGTGTGCTGACTTGGGGTGTGTGTGTATAGATTAAGTTGAGCTTGGCTTTGCCTCATCAGGTATGTAGGGATTTTTGTTTGTTTGTTTGTGGTTGGAGGGGGGGAGGGAGAGGGATGGATGATGGAGTGCTGGATTGGATGGGATAGGATGAGATGAGGGGGGATGGGGAAGCGGAGGAGGGATTTCTGCGGACACATGGATTGGCAGATGGGCATCTAGGAAGAGATTGGCTAACACACAAATCTGCAGTCTGTCTACAGATCCCAAGATGTCGTCCAGGTCAACATCCCCGCCGAATCCGGTGAAATGGGTATCCTCGCCAACCACGTCCCATCGATCGAACAATTGAAGCCAGGTCTCGTGGAGGTTATTGAGGAGAGTGGTGGAAGCAAGCAATTCTTCCGTACGTCATACGACAATTCATTCTGGAGACATTTACAAATTGGGAGAGAACCCAGGAAGCTAACGGGACATTGAAACAGTTTCCGGAGGATTCGCAGTCGTTCAGCCAAACTCTTCATTAAGCATCAACGCAGTCGAGGGATTCCCATTGGAGGATTTCAGCGCAGATGCAGTTAGGTCACAAATTGCTGAGGCTCAGAAGATTGTTGGAGGCAGTGGAAGTGAGCAAGATATCGCTGAGGCTAAGATTGAGTTGGAGGTGAGTTTTTAATATTCAGATCTTGGATGCGGATATGAGATCAGGACTAATGAGATATGTAGGTTTTGGAGACCTTGCAAGCACACCTTAAGTAGAGAAATTACTCTACCGTGGTGATGGTTAGATGATAGAGACCTGCACAATGTACATCAGTGAAACATTTTTTATTGCGTTGTGTGAAAACGAATACCATAGCTTGTTCAATTGAGAAGCTCGGTCAATTTTATACCCTCATCAACTAAGTTTTGAACTGTATTTTTGCTATATCTGATGGGTTCAATGATTATGGGAAAATGGACATGTAGATTTTGATGAATAGCCATGCATACTGACAATGGCCAAGGACGTTGATTGCTCTTGCCTTTTCGGTCGTTGTGTTCCTCCCAACGAGACTTGCTAGTTTCAATTCAAGTACTCGATCTCTCTCACCATGGTCATTTGTACTTCCATCTATATTTTCCTATTAGGGTTATCCTCTTCATTGCTTCACAGCACTCATCAGGCGCATTGCCTGGGTATTCATTCGTTACAGTCATCTTTATATGTCAGCATCAGTCCCGAATTCAATGTATCCTATAAACCATCAATTGCCATGAACTATCCCTGGCGACCAGCTACAGCTCGAAATATACATGCCGATTCTGCGGCTTCAAAACCATCCTTACCTAGTGATCGACCCTCTCGCAATCTTCCCATCACAGTGGGAACTGTTGCTTCACGTATCTTATTACTTCAAAAGCTTGCGGGCAACCAAAAAAATAAATCACCACCGAAAACCCCTTCACGCTTTCCACAAATCCGATCTCCGTCGAAAACAAGACGAGAAAGGAGCAGCAAATCACCTCATCGATCACGATCCCCCCCTCAGTTTCGACCGCAATTGAATAGGAGACGAGAAAATTCTCGTTCGAGCTTCGGTCGTCGACCTACGAATCTCTTTGGGAACCCGGCGTCGAGAAATTCGCAACCAAGTGAACAGTTGCAAACGGGGACGAATCATTCTTTCTTGGGTTTGAGAACACCGAGATCGAATCATGATGAGGGGCAAGCTAGAGCGGGGAATGTGGGTGCATTAAGGGTTAGTGGGGATGTTGGACCTTCGTTGAGTGGCTTGCGGGGCTTGGATCGGGAAGATGCGATGGATAGTGGATGGGCTCCTATTGTTGATACTTTGAAGATGTCGAGGAACGATCTAGGGCGAAGGACTGCTGGCCCCAAGGTAGATTTACACAGGGGCGTTCAGACTTTTGGGGATGACTATAGCACAGCACAAGCGCCATCTACTGCTCAATTATCCTATGAACAGAACCTAACACTGAATTCTCGTCGTCAGAGAGAGAAAATACGGCAAGATGAGATGTCTAATTCTGAGGTATCTACTCGTACAACGTCTACACTTCAGCGACAGAGTGTTCGAGATTTGTATGCTAAACATGGAATTGAAAGGCCACCTGGACTCGCATCATCTGAAATTGCGCGGGAAGAAATCAATAGACCTCAGAGACATAGCGTCTGTCATATTTGCATGTGGATTCATGATAAGAATGAAAATACCTGTTGGAAATGTGGTCATCGATTATGCAGAGCTTGTGATAGACTTCTGCCTTTTTCTCATGGGGGTAAAGATACAAGTTTTGATTACGACCGAGGGCTTTCTATTGATCGGAAAGAAGCGTCGAAACCACTGCATTATGTAACAACACCACGACCATCAAAAGGTCAAATTACAAAGCAATCACTGTCGAGGCCTCTGCCGGTTCCAATACAGAAAGTTCAGAAAGAGGTCCGTCCGACGGAGCCTTTTCCGTCGTTCTATTCCAAGAACGCTCTGCCACAAAACTCAAAGCTTGGTTCTGGTTTGGATCCGTCGAATTGTGAGCAATTACAATCGTGTCCTGGTATCTACAAACCCGAGCGCCCCCAAAAGTTCTCAACTAAATTTCAGGAGACCTCTCAAGAAAATTCCATGCTTCCTACACCAAATTTTTCCTCCCAGTATGTTGCCAGCGAACATAGATCTGACTCGGGATCATTGGAAACACACGACTGCAGATGTAGAAGCTGTCAACAAACTGAACATGAGAGTTTTGTCTGCCGACATTCTACTTCTCAATCACTTGCCCGAAGTGAGGATATTATAGCTATGGATGGTCGCTATACAACTGACAGTATTAACGACGAAAACATTTATCGCTCGCTTTCTTATCCTGACTCCTCTAAAACTTCACAGCCTTCTTTGAGATTTTATCGATTATTGAATGGATCTATACACCGAGCAATACAACTCAGCCATGAATCGGACCAGGAGGAAATCCCACGGACTTCAATGAGACCAGATCCATTTTCGAATAACACAATCTGTCGGACTACACAAGCTACTCATAGAGTGAATCGCAGAAGCCGTACAGACAACACACAGAGGACAGAAAGCTCGTATCGTATGTTCAATGGGACAACCTATCAACCAATACAACCCAGTTTTACATCGGATAATGTGGAAAAGTCGAAACTCCTAAATAATTATTATCCATTTCTCAATAATTCGAAATATGGAAAACGTTCGTCGAGATATGGATCAGATTATGTAGAATGTCATGGGTACCCTAGGACTGGTCATGGGCATTGCGATCGCAGTCCTGTTAGTTCGGGTATTTTAGGGGACTGCCAACATTGTCTTGATGATTGTGAGTGTTCTGCATGCCAGAGCACAGTTCATAGTGTTCGATGTTGTACAAATGAAGTTCATAAACCTATGATACATCTTCATCGTAGTCCAGCAAAGGTCTCGTTAAATGATGCATTCAATTCGAATACTGGACATCTTAGCTCGATGCAGGAAAAGAAACCTTATATCTTATCTCACTCTCAGACTTATGATCGTTCGACCGTTCATAAGTATGATAGTGTTTCGGAATGGTTGGGGAGTCCGGATGAGCCTTCGCCGCATCGAAGATTGGATACCCCGACTGATACGCCGTCGAAGACTCTTCATGTTGCAAGAAATAATCCATCAATTGCTATTAAGCAAGCTAGCAATTCGTTATCGATGGCTCGAAGTCCGTCACCTTGGGCTTCAGCATCGATTGTCCCGAAGGTTATAGCACCGCTAGTGAAAGAAACTTTCAACAAAGCTTCAGAGAATACTTGTTCAAAAATATCCGTGAACCCAAACAGACCATCGTTAAGTGATGGGACGAAAGACCAATCCGTAGCACCCGCAAGACCAAACCCTCGTTTTCCCACGAATTCTTCTCCGGGCTACTTTTCATCCAATCCATGGCGAGATAAAGAAGCAGTTAATTTCCCCAAAAATTATCTCTATTGGAAACAAATGTCGAAATCTCCATTCCAGCAAGTCGCCAGACGTTCAACGGATTGCGAAACGTCGGATGTTTGTGGACAATCGGAATGGGCGGGACGGAGACGCAAGAGCGAGGATGAGATTTCAAGGAGGAAGAGGAAGGAGAGGCTGGGACGGGAACAGGAACAGGTAAGGAATAAGGTCCAGAAGTGGGAGGATAGGAGGTCGGAGAGTAGGAGGGGGGTGATGAGGAGAGTGGGGGTGGTGAGGGATAGTGTTGGTGTTAATGGTGGTAGTGCTGGTGCGAGTGAGATGGTAACACCGGTTAGCGCGGGGGGATATTTTGATGCGCAGATGAGGTGGTTGTCGAGTGGGAGTGAGAGGGGGAGGGGTAATGGTTTGAAAGGGGTTATGGGGTCGATTTTGGAGGAAGAGGGGAATGGGGAGCTTGGCGAGGAGCAGGAGCAGAAAGGGGAGGGTGAAGATAGTGATGGTGAGAAGCATGATTGTGTTTGGAAAAGGAGGTTTTTGGGGTTTGATGAGGGGAGGAGAGTTGGTAGATTGAGAAATGTAAATACAAATGAAAGTCTGAGAGAAGAAGGGGGAGAAGGAGTGAATGGGGCCAAGGGGGTTACGATTGTGATTCATATGGAGAATGCAGAGGATTTGGTTTTGAGGACAAATTGTCAGGGAGGCTTGAGTTGGGAGGGGTTAGAGAGGTTGTTGAGGGTTGAGAGGGGGTTTGAGGGGTAGGGGAGGATTTGAGAGGGAGTATTGTAAGAACTTGTGAGATTGTAGGCCTAGGTTTCTTTTAGATCACTAGATAGTGATGAATTTGGAAATTGAAAAATGAATAAGTATTGTGTCTAGAGGCGTTTGAGGAATTGGCGGCTAATCAACAGGACAAGAAAAACCCGAAAAGATTCTAATACTTTGAAAACACGAATTTTCATTTCTCTAGAAATTTTGGGACCAAACCCCCTCCACCTACAAATCCTACGCATTACTACTGATCAACATTCCCGACAAAAACCACAAAGTGTCCTTTCCCAGCGAATAGTTCCACCGTAACAATTCTCGCTCTAAGTTCCGTACTTTGACTGGCAAGCGTCTCGTCATCAAATGTGTTACTTGTTCTCAGCCAATTACTGCCTTCTGTTTGATGAACTATCTTTTCCTTCTTGGTATCAATACAATCCTTGATTGGATTTGATAGGGAGACCTACTAGAAGCATTACTAGAAGGGTTCAAAAGGGTCAATTTGGCTATACATTAGACGTCTGAAACTGCCTTTGCACAAATATACCCTGGCTATCCGACACCGTCCTTGTGTTGCTGAGTTCACAATTTGCATCAAAATCGGATGCCTCGAATGGAACGAGATGCAACTCGTTGGTAATTGTCTGCACCGATGGAGCCTCAGACCGTTCCGTGTAATTACTGTGATTCTTGGGGCGTGAAGGTCCGAAACCACCAAAGGTCCTTAGCTGAAGTTGCGGGCTTTCGTCTTTCGTTGACACTGCTGAGCTACCATGAAGCTTATGGGAGAGCTTTGATAGGCTGGGTTTGAGATATACTCGACAAAAGGCTTCATGGTAGGTAAGCAGGCAACAACGATACCAATCCAAAGCTCGAGATTGCTCAGCACTCTGATTTTCGCAATGGCAATCATGAGATCGGAAGGTCTTCGGGCTGTCAATTCAAGACGGTAGCACATGATGGCGATAGTTCTAGTTCAGAGGTCAACTATGAGTCATGAAGAGATCGTGCAAAGAACAAAGAAGAGATGGTATCCTTCGGTCATTACTTATGCGAAGCCAAAGCTGAATATGACCATTGCGAAAAGCTTGTGATTCAAGGCAATTTGAAGTTTGTATAGCCATGGCATAGGGAGGATGATGATTGCCGTGTCGAGAGCGAGATTGTGAGAGATGGAGGAAGACTCGGATATTGTTAGAGATCTGCATGAGCCCCATGGAACAGGGTTCCATTCTAGGAAGACTGGGTTGCAGTGAGTTAAAAATACGACGAGGAAGGTTATACCGAAGCATGCCTCTATGGTCATCAAAGAGATGGCCCATCGCTTGAAAATGGGCGTGGTGAAGATTCGTATATACGACCCAAGCACAGCCAATTGGACAGCAGCGGTACTGAAGATCCATGTGCTTGATACTGCCACAAGGACCTTCCGGCACAGTCAGTTGTGGTCCAAAGTAAAGTGGTGTTTCAAACACCTTGAACAGATTAACATACCGTTGCTTGTACTGCTAATTTCTTCAAGGGTCAGATCAGCTGCGCCGTTCCCTAATCCATTGTAGATAGCCCATACCCCGACTTCTTGCTGGGCGAGGCATTGCTACCTGTTTTTTTTTGCGACACGTTTGAGATTGAGACCATCGAGATGGAGTCAAGAAAGAAAATGGAGTGGCCACTCACATATGAGAAAATCCAGAAGCCATTATCGAGAAAAAAAACTCCTCTTCTGGATTTTGGCTGGCCAAAACCGAAGCACAACAGCGACTGTTGTGAGAATGGAGAAGGATATGGTCCACCCAATCAGGGACCAAGAATCATTTATCCACTAAAGCCACCCCCCCAAAAAAACCAATAAGTAAGAATTGAGAGACGGATGATTGTCAGGTGTTGTTTCTTGATGATTGGTAGAGAACGTGGTGTAACAGATGCAAATGGTCTTTGGAAGAATGTTGGCGAAATTCATAGAATTGGGTCTTTCAAATTGCTAGCTGTAGCGGCCCTAATCCAGCCTGTCGTGAAGAAAATCCTTAAACAATTGCAACAAGATGATTTTCTTTCGGAAGTGGGTTGATACATATAATACATCAATATTCACGTGTTCATTCTGTAGGGAAGGGAAATCTTTTTGGGGAATCGAGCACACCTCTGGAGCTTGCATGTGCGTAGTGAAGACGAAGATATTCAAAGTATACTTGAAGATCGCCTGTTGGGGCAATGAATGACTAGATTTCTTGCAGATGCTGGATTTCGATATGATTGGTTACAAGTGCTAGAAAAATGAAACCTTTTTTTTTAGCACTGTTTTCAATTTTCTACATACCTTTCAAAGGTCGGTCTGTGTACAGAGATGAATGTAACTTTAGTGTTTGCCATCTGCGGGGTCCATGGTTCTGCATCCTGCGATGCTGTCCCCGATCATCATCATTACTTTTTCGATACCTATTTGCAGGGTTTTGACTAAAGCGATAATTGCAGTTAAAGTAACAAAAGACACCTGCCTATTTGATATGTCTTCGGTTTATGTCGTAGCAGAGCATGTTTCGCCTGACCGCATCTAGTGCTAGACGTACACACTGAGCTCATTCGAATATGCAACGGACGTAAGCCGAGGCTTGCGATGATTCTGTAAGGAATCCCTTGGTTATGGTTCTCGGCCATGATGTTGCAATAAGGATCCTCAAGTTTCAATATCGGGCGCAGTACAGTTCCTCTCGAGTAAATTGGTCCAACATCGGTGACAAGTGACCCTGGCTGGTCTCACTATGGCCCCATCACCCCGCACTTTCATTTTTGGATTTGAGGTTACTCGCGAGAAACGCCTGGTAGAAAAACATGCAGCTGAAACTTCTTTACCTAGATAGGTTGTGTATTTGATAAGCGAGGCTAGCTAGTGGTCTTGGAATTTTCGTTAGAAAAATCGCTATTCGAACTCGAACTTGTTTCTAGTCAGTTTGTCAGACTCAGAAAGGTGATGAGAACTCACGCTCACATCGAAACCTCAAAGCACACATTCGCCCAGATTTTGTTGGCAAAAGACTCAATCGTTATTGTAAAATCGTTTGCCATAATATGGTCTCAAAGGTCATTCAAGTTATGATAGTGGTCATAATTAACCAATAGGAATGAAAGTCATTGTTCGCGTAGTACCCGGTGACGATGGTGATTTGATGTGCTATATTCTGCTATACCATTTTCGTTCTCTTTTATGCTTAACTACTAGCTTCCAATGATACTAAGAAATGAATTCCATCATATTACTAATTTTCTAACCACGATGGATTTCAATGAGGCTTTTGGACCGACACCTTGAATCACAATAATTCTTCTTTGATGAGGCTAGCACCTAGCTCAGCAACCCCGTAGACAACTGCTTGAGGGTTTGCTGTTGGTTCTAAGGGTATAAGACTCGCATCACAAATGCGAAGATTAGAGCAGCCATAGACGCGTAATTTATTGTCCACCACGCCGCGCGGCATCATGGAGCACGTTCCAGTATAGTGGTAAGCACCATCTACTGTACGGCGAACATAATTCTTTGTTAAATCTAGATCAGTAAACCGTTTGGTGTACGGTTTCAAGTACTGGGTGAGTGGTTCTGCCGCGACCAATGAGGTCTTCCATGAAGCGAACTTGGCGTGCAAGTATCTCGAGATCTAGTGGATGGGATAAGTAACGAGACTCAATTCTCACACCTTCATTGGTGCTGGTGTGCTCCGGTGCTGCGCTGGTGATATGCACCGAGCCACGAGAGAGCGAGTGGGATAGCTACTTTCATGTTCTCGGGTTACTAGCAAGCATTTTGGTATACCGTCGATTGTTCCATCGGCTTAACAACGCCAACTTTCCTGGTCCATGGTGGGCGCGATACACCAAGATCGTGCAAATTTGGGAGAATAGACACTCAATCAATCATTTATATCTGCACAGACTATACCAAAAGTATAGTCATGTGGTTGGGACAGGTAAGCCTGGCGCAAGACAAACAGAGTGTTACATCCAAGCCACTTGACTAATGAGTTTTCAGGTCCAGCTGAAGACACTGTATTCTTACCTGAAGTTCATGAGGCAGTCGGTGGGCGTCAGTCTGAATGTATCAAATCCGAGCTCTATGATCTCTTATGGCTAAAACAAGCACTTTTTGCTGCTTGAAACAAAGCAGTTCATGCAAAGCGACGGAAGTATTGGCAATATAGATTTTCACCCACAGGTTTTCCTTCAAAATCCTCATTAATCAAGCATTTATAACCATGAGATCCTAGTAGTTATTGAATACCATGAAGTCAAAGTGCTTAAATGGATCGACGAACGTGACAGACAGCTAGCAATAAAAGCCAACCATAGCTCAACTGTGGACACCACTGAAGTCTTCTTATGCTTCACATTTGATATCATGGGGGATTTCACATTCAGTAAGTCATTGGAGATGCTTGAGTCTCAAAAGTGGCACAAAAATTGGAGGGCCCAAGCACTACTAGGTCCCCAGCTCCAACTCCTTGGCTACTACACATTGGCGTGAAGCTACTACCACGGGTTTTATGGATGAAGGACTGGTATGAATCTTGGAATGATGCCAAGCGCAGATGGAAGAAAAGCTCCTAAAGGGAGCTCCTTTTGGAGTCCTAGATCTCACATCTTTTTTCATGGAAAACACCAAGGGCAATAAAGCCGGGCCATGGCTCAAAGGCGATAGTTTGCTAGCTATACTGGCGGGCAGGTGAGCTTTTGACTTATCAAGGTCGATCATTATACATGCTGGACTGACAAATTATAGTGAGCCCACTGCGCAAATCTTGACAGCGATTTTTCATGAACTCTCAATGCATCGTGAGCATATAGCCGAAATTCGCGAAGAATTGGGCGTTGTATGTATTACCGATATTAAGGCCCCCACAAAAACTACCATACCTAAATGCCGTTATTCAAGAGGCAATGCGCCTCCATCCAAATCTTTTGACTGGAGGCAGTCGGAAAACAACAGAAAGTGGAGTCACCATTGACGGCGTGTATATTCCTCCACATATCACAGTTGTTACACCTCATTACACTATTGCCAAATGTATGTCATTCCACAATAAAGGTTATTCTTAATATATCGTACCAACGAGCTTCATCAATGCAGGCGAGGATTGCTTTGTAAAAGGCACCCAATTTATTCCAGAACGCTGGACTACGAACCCCCAGATGGTGCTGAATTCAAAGGCACATATACCATTCAGCATTGGGAAGGACATCTCAATTTTCTAGTCAGACTGTAGCGCATGCGCTGTTCCTCGAAGATTTATACTAATCATAATCCAAAATATTTAGGTCAATATAATTGCCTCGGCTAGTCTTTGGCATGGCGTATTGTGAGATACACCATTGCGCGGGTTATCCAGAAGTATATTTTCCACTTAACACCAGGAAGTGATGGGCACAACATGGAGGATGACAAGGTTGATAGATTCACAGCTTTTTCTGGAAGCGTGCTGCTTTTTTTTGAGCTCAGAGATTGATAAAATTTCTAGAGGGTCATAATTGTGTACTACTTAGTAACTTGTGCTTTTGAAGCAGAAGAGCATGTTCGTCTTACTTGGTACGCCTAGGCACGTAAGTCCAGAAATTTGACTGAAATTCCCTTGAAGAGGTTGCCTATTGCCATGCGATACAAGGAAACAACAGTCATTTGAACGAAGAAATGGATTCCCGAGTGATTTGCAACGTTTTTGCATTATACAGTACTAGTCATGCACTTAAGGACAGAAACCCCAGGCTAAACCAATCAGCCAGCTCAGCTATATTATTATGTAATATATTATGAAGATTTATATCATATCCCATACGCATTAACCACTCACAACAACTTTCCATTCCCATTTCATTCCCAGATGCAAAATATCATATCTCTTCTTCGAGCAATTTACATCCACTGACCAACCACATCCATCTGCGTAGCTACATTTCCCTTTCCATTACGACTTCCCGCCAATCTCCTAGCCACCTCATTTGCCTCAAACAAACTGACCAATCTTCTCTTTCCTATAAATTCTCTCTTTGTCTTATCCTCACTATTCTCACCTTCATCACTATCAAACTTTCTCTTCAACTCTCCCTGAACCCTCAAACATTCTTCCCAGATCAAAGAATGTGTCTGATAAAATGGGGCTGCATCGCGTTTCTGCTTCGCGTGATACGCACTCAACGTATCCCCATTAACATTACGCGGATGATATTGCCAATACTCGTCGACAGAGGGAGGGTCAGAAATGAAATTAGAGATGTAGTTATCATGGGACATTTCGAGGGGTGTACGACCAGTTGCCGACTCACGATACAGGAGAGTGGGCTTTTGGCGGAGGAGGAAGGATGCTAAGTTTGGTCTGTTGTTTTTGATTGCCTAGATTGGTGTTAATATTTCAATTTTAGTTGGATGGGGAAGAGTAACTTACGACGTGTAAAGGCAAATCGCCTTCTCCGTTAATCATCTCCAGCTCCTCGCCTGTAGAATACTTAAGAAGTACCTCTATGACATCTGCGCCATCATAGTGTGTGGCCATGCTCATCCATAAAGCTAGAGGTGTAACTGCGCTTGGGTAGTCATCCGACCTCTCAAGTAACATTTCTTGAACATCTTTTTTGTTGAATAGCTTGATAATAGATTCTAAGCAAGGAACTGTCTCTTTGTTTACGGTTGTAGCATCAGCTGCAAGAGTATGCATGATATTTCGGTTTTGTCTATCGCGAGAGCGGGCCGAGGCACCAACTGAAAGAAGGTACTCAATGATGGGAATGTTTTTTCTGCTGACAGCGAGATGTAGAGGTGAATAGCCCTGAGAAGATTTCAATGAGAGAACCGAATCAGGAAGAACGGAAACAAGATGTTTGATGAGATTGAGGTGATTGATTCTTTCTTCGTCTGTTTTTGGGTCATGAAGAATGGCGACGTGGAGTAGAAGCTCGCCTATTGATTATTGTCAATATACTAATAACATTTAAAAGATGTTATATCACTTACTATTCATCTCTAACCATTTTGAAACAGTATTTTCAAATACTTTCCCTGATTCCAACGTTCGAATTCGAAGATCATCCTTGTTTCTCGCAGCAAATTCTTTGTAATGTCTCATGGGAGCATCACTCATGAACCACTCGACGGATTCAATGTTGCCCATATGAGCAGCTTCGAGCAAAGGTGGGAATTGCCCCTCAAAATAATTGATATTTTGAATGTGAGCAGGAGGTTGTGCCCAGTCCTTTCGTTTCTTGCCACCAATCGACAAGCCTTCATAATATCTTGGCTTTGTCTTGAGCTCCACACCACTGGCCGAGACTAACTTTCCAAATGGAACACCAGCCCCGCAGTATTTGATCATTTCAGCTATCATTATGGTTCTACCTCTGAAGAGAGCTTCGTTGAAAAATGAGTAAGGCAAAGTATAGCATCGCTGATCGTCCTCATGTTTAGCAATCAAAGCTTTCTGCTCGCTTGCAATATCCAAAAGGAACTTGATCATTTTGAGATCGTTCTGCTCAATAGCATATTGAAATAGACTAAACGTCTTGCTTGATCCGGGGTTTTCGTCGTTATCAATGAATCGACGGGCTGGACAGTGCCATTGAATCATAGACAAAGGGAGTGTATCACCTTTGACAACGTTAGAAACCTCCTCAAGTGTATCAATCGTGAATTTGTCAGTAACGAGTTCAGAAAAGATGGGCAGATCATCCGATTCATCATCATCATCATTAGAAGTCGTAATACCCCAACGTTGACGTCCTTTCTTATCATTTTCATCATTTGCGTTATGATATTGAGCAAGGCATATTTCCACTATCCTACGTGCAAGGTCGTAGTGTCCGCGTAAAACGGCGATAGAGAAAGGCATAAACTCATTTCCATCACGGACTGCAATTCTAAGAGGTGGATACTCAACCTCTCCATGCTTCCAAGGCTGGAGTGTCAAATTTCTGATGGCATCAAGATCATTGTTCCAAGCAGCTTCAAACAACATACAATAGCCCTGTCTCTTCCCATCATTGAGGTCCGGGACATTGAAAGTAATATATGTTTTGTAAGGTTCTGATGCTACTTTATGCGAACGATTGTGGTTCCAGGAGCTATCTTGGCGCTCGGGGGATTGAGGAATATCGGGATACAAATCAGTGAAGGATTTTGCCCCAGCTGCAATGAGAAGTTTTTCAGCCTGCTCGAGATCTTTGATTGCTTCCTTGACTGCTTCGCGCTCATCTTTGTATATTTCAAGTTCAGTTTCTTTATCCTTGAGCAACTTCTCGTGTTTTTCATGTTGGACTTCATTCTGGTGTTTCTCATCTTGGTAGTCATGTAAGGCTGTCCAGTATTTATAGGTACCTGGTTCCAGATCTGCCGTGTAAAAAGTCTCAGGTCGAAGAATTTCGGGCTTCGTTAATTCGAGATTTTCTGGTCTATATTGCCATTGATTATAAACAGGCTCCTTCCAATCTCGAAGGGTCTCCAATTTTCGTTGAATAACATCTAGGATAGATTCTCTCGCGTTGCGATAGTACTGTCGCGATTCAGGATTATTTACCACTGACCATGCAATAGTTGTGAGAGTCTGGGGATTGGCACCGCTTGCAAGAAGATCCCCAACAACAGCGCCAATCTCCTTACAGATAGCAACAATAATGGGTTGTTGGGCTGTTTCTTGAAATCGTTTCATATTTGTTTCAGTATTCTGATTTTTAGCATAAGTGTTCGTGCCCGTGTACACTTTGACCCAATCTTCGAATTCAAACTGCGGTTGTGCACCTAAGTGCAGAAGTTTGGATGCAATCTCTCCGTAGTTTTTCTTAATGGCAGTTGAAAGTGGTGTCTCAGCTGATCCGTGTCCTGCAATTCCGATCTTATTGATGACTCTTTGCGCTGCTGGTCGATCATGAGCGAACAAAACGTCCAAGATATCGGTATTGTTTTGAGCGACAATGTAGTGGAGAGCTGTGAAATGGTTTGTATCTGATTGAGCAGAAGTTGCCCCTAGATTCAACAGTTTTTCCACCACTTGCTTTGACTTTTCTTTGGGGAGAGACATCGCTAGAACCAAAGTCATGATTGCCCCTCTAGGATTGGTAGTTCCAGCTTCTACTAGCTTGACTGGGAAGAGAACATCGGCACCATATTCTGAGACGAGAAGTTCAATGACAGCGATATGACCATTGAGAATTGCAAGGTGAAGTGGAGAGAGACCATAATCCCAAGCAATAACGTTGATGTCATAGATGTCAGGATCTTCCATAGAGTCGTCCATAACTGCAGCCTGAAAGAATCAATTAGCATAAGAATAATGGAGGGGAAAGAAAAAAAAGACTTACAACATCATCCTTATCTTCATCCTTGTTTCCTGGAATCTTGACAAAGCTTCCCATCGTCAGAGCATCAGCTTCCTCTTGTTCACTGTCGAGGGTAATCTCTGATGCAGAATCTGATTCCTCTTCATTACCAGATGTAGTGGATGCGACTTTACGAGGTTGCTTTTCTTCCTCCTCCTCTTCATTACCAGATGTAGTGGATGCGACTTTACGAGGTTGCTTTTCTTCCTCCTCCTCTTCATTTGCCATACTCTTATTCAGGAGTATGCGAATCATCTCAAGATCGCCTTTTGCAGCGGCAATATGTAATGCTGTCCTGCCATCTACAAGCCTAGCAATCAATCTAGCTCCATGATCGACGAGACATTTGACAATCTCTGGAGTGGAAGTCATGGTGGCTAAATGTAAAGGCGTGCGACCAGTATAGTCTCGGCGGTTAACATCGACACCCTCTTGAGAACACCAATCCTGAACATGTTCCAGATCTCCATCCACGACAGCTTGACACAAACGTGCTGTGTCACCGACATAACTCATAGTAGTCCACTCATCATCATTTATAGGATTGAAACTTCCAATTTCCTGGCGACCAGGGTCGTCTGTGATAAACTTGAGAGTACCCGAGACGTTGTTCTTGCTTTCCTTTTCAGCCACCTCATTCTCTTGTTCAGTGGTAGGAACCGGACAGTATCCGCAACAATCTTGAATAACTTCTTCTGCCGTGCCGAAAAAGCATGGATGACGATGTAAATAAACTTCACGATCTTTGTCTTGGTTCCACTCCGCATTCAAAAGCAAATCCTTGGCATACAGCAAACGATTGATCTTTGCCGCATTATACTTCTGCCCATAAGGAACTGTCATGGTATGATAGTTAGCAATCTCATCCTGTTCAGCCCAATCTGCGACCTCGTCCTCTTCTTGATCTTTCAAATTTCCATACAATCTACGTTGATTGCGGAAACCTCTGCTGAGAGACGGTCTACCACGTTCTTTTCGGCGTTGATCCATGTAGTTTTCCCGGTCCTATATTTGAACTTAGCATATGATGATTGTCGCGACTACACCAAGAGTACTGACAACTGTCTTTGGCAATTTCTCCAGAATCAACAATCTAGCGAGTCCTTCGGTGCGACCAAAAGAGCGCTCAAATATGGTGGGATCGATTCTTGAGCGATCCAACATTGGCCAATGGACTTCGAAGCCTCGGTGGCTGTATTTGCTCAAGCGATTTTCGTAACTTGGCGATCTTCGGGTCAAATCAATGGTGTTGCACTGTGTAACGAATGATCCAACGGCTCTGGGACTCATGTAAACTTGCTTTCCATCATACGCAGCACAAGAACAATCTACATCAAATCCAGTGATGATCTGAGAGATGGAATCATAAAGTCTGAGGACAATTTGAACATGACGAGTGGGATGTTGACTTGCAATGGTGATAGCGTTCTTTGTGCGGATTGTGGTTGTCTCATGAAGAATAGCATCTCTGATGTTGGTCTCAATCTGCTTGATCTTCTCCAATCCTTCAGCCTCGGTAAGCCCGTAAAGAAAGAGATCAACATCGGATGCCGGAGCCAAATGCTCGTGATAATATTCTCTCATGGCTCTCTTGCTACCTGCCCAGTTCTCTGGAATTGTAAGAAGAGATGTAGTGACGGCACTACCAGCTGCAACAACATTGCTCCAGTCAAGATCAGCCAATGAAGATTCGGAAAAGAGGTTGAAATTCGTCTGAAAATCCTTGATGGATCCAACGACAGCTGGTGAGCCATTGGGTCGACGTTCTTCATGCTTTAATGGCATAATGTATTTTTCTAGCTCTTCTGTGGACTCACTCTTAAGATCTCTAGCCCTAATCTTGAGACCATTCTCATGGCCAGAGAAGATGGGAACTAAGTTGACAGCTCCATCTTTGATGACTTCATGGTCAGGTTGTTGGGCGTAGATTTTGCGAAGTTCTGATTCATAGGCCTTATATGGCTCAATGATGGTTGAGATATTCTTGGTTGGATTCTGAGATATGTAGGGAATGAAATCTTTAATGGGTGCGGGAAGGTTTGGGAGCTCGATTGGAGCTGGACGTTCAGGGAGAGTATCTGAAGCCATGGTGATTTGGTATGGTGAAACTACTTCAGATATTGAAAGAGTAGAGGGAATGTATATTGGGTGTTGTGCCAATGGGAGAACAGATATATAGAGAAATGGTTTGAACCAAACGTTCATCGAAATTCAGGATAAGACACTGGCGATGAGAATTATAGACACCAAGTAACCTGAAGACAAGAATCCTTTGACTATTATTTTCGAGTTATATTTCGCATGGAATTGAAATTGAAACGAAGATGAAGATGTGTATCGAAAAAAGATATCAATTCATCTAGAAATCATCTCTTTATAAACTTCACGCGCCATACAAAATTAAAAAGGTCCTAAACTCGTGTATCAACACGAAAGTCACCCCTCGTCTCGTGATTTTAGGCAACTCCAGGCATCCACGTGATTGTCTCCCGCTCTTTCCACAATTATCGTCTTAGCGTTATCCGAGCAGTAAGCGGCATGATTTTGAACCACATTTCCCCAGTCTTGGAATTAACTCACATCCAATCTTTAAATTGCCATTTCTCATGTTCTCCATATTCGGCACTGATGCCTTCAGAATGGGGTTTGTTACCTAGAATTTGAGGATGATGAGAGTCATGAGTAAATGTATTGACGTATCAGGCTTTACACGAATATCGAGATAGCATATACACGGTATCAACATCTAAGATGACGATTGATGATCGTGAATGATGTTTCTTGGTTATGATTGAGTCGAACGATTACAGTTCTTTCAAATCAAACACGCCGCTCTTCTCTAGTTGATAACAATGTCTAGATAAATTCGAAAGGCCAACTCGTTGATATCCATCACACCTCGAACCTGGCCATTTGCATACAAGGGTACACACGACGGGTGTCCAGACTCATCAAAACTATCAGCATCTACAACTGACATGGTCCCTATGAATAAACGTTCAAAATTCTCAAAACATCATTCTTGGTTCTCTGAAACATCCAGATCCATAGATGACCACATAATTAGAACGAATTAAGCAAGTATTTCCTCCACCAAGAGCGAAGTTTCGAAAAAATCTAATCTTCCAGGACCTCCGTTTCGCTGATTCTGAATTAGTGTAGCGTACACTGACTACTCCTTGTAACATGAATCCGATATAGTGTTAAATTGTGAGAGTAAGCGTATGAACATAGTGAATAGCTTCAATTCAACAGCTACTGTATTATAGGCCCTACGCGAAAGCGAAAGAAACTAGCTCTTTCTAGTAGACCTTAAATGTAGACCTTATTCAAGGTCTACTACGTCTCACATAGCTAGCTTTTTAGACGGAGTACAATATTGACATCTAGGGCCTACAACTCGTAGGTGCTACGTCATACGTATCCTTCTCAAACCAACAGTAAGAAAACATACAAAAGGATGAATCATATGATTGGAATTGATAGATAACGAAAAATTGCATCTTCAACCTCGCTTAACGATATTGCTAAGATGTTAAAAGTCAAGAAGTACTGCATTTCAATAATTAGCGATTAACATACTAGATAGATTTACCTATATTTATATATGTGCAAAAAACGATAGATCATAACATCACTCAAGATTAAATAATGACGAGGAAGCCCATTAAACATGCTATACAAGACCTTCAGTACAAATAAAAAATTCCCTGAACAAAACCGATTCTGAGAGTGCACTGACACAGTCGTTGCTTCAATGTGAACTCTGATGTATCAATCCAGCAATATATAAAACCCTTCTCCCTCACCCTATCTAACTCTCCTCTCTTAACCTATCAACTCCTCCAAGTTCAATATTCAATAACAACTTACACCACCCATTTCTCCAAACAAATCATGTGCTCAAACTTAACCCACAACTCTCAAAATACAATAATAAAAAGCTGCTAGTATTCGCTACCTCGAATTTACCGATACCCTGAAGAAAATAATCGGCGACATATTAATAGAGATAGATAAGCGACAGGATCTATCTACAAAACACTGCACCAACTAGCCCACAAACCTCCAACTACCACGCCACTTCCGTATTAGTACAACTACTTATTATCTATTTGCCATTTCCCACCCCACTTCCGTCTTAGTACAATTACTTCCTATCTATTCCCCATTTCCCACCCCTCATACTTTCAACCATCTCATCACATCAACCGAAGAAATTCCAAGCGACATCCGGCTCGGTAATATTGCACTAGATGATAAGCGAAATCTACACATACCTCCAGCTAGGTATGGTTGCAATAGAAGTGAATAAGTATGTAGGTACACGTGAGCACGCTAGCTCTCTTTATTTTAAACCCGCCAGAATACCTAGGTAGATACACACAATACAATACGATATAATTAATTAGACCGATCTTCACTATACAGACATCATCACGACTCACTAACCATTGAAGTAATACCAACCCACATTAACCTATTTCTCCCCTCAGAACTATACTCCCCACCTCCCCATCTCCCGCTCCAAAGACTCACCCCTCAAACTCCTCCATCAAACCAAAAACCATAAACCCTAACGACCCCGCTCATCCTCTCCCACCCCCGCCCCCGCCCTCCCAAGCAACAGACCCAGACACAAGAAAACCCCCAAAATTCCATCTCTCTACCTCTCTCAACACAACCTCAATACAGAAGACCACAGGACATAGTAAAAAGATAGCAGACAGACAGACAGACAGACCTTCGCTTTCGATTTCTCTTTAAATCTAGATTCAAATTACAAGCTCTACCTAGGTATCGAACAATCCATCCCCCTACCCCTACCACCCAACCACAAAACCCCCCTTCAAACATCCCCCTCCCCCAATCCGCCAGACCCCCTTCCAAAACCCCCTACTACCATCCCAACTCTCCAGACAAGATCCCATCAATCTCCTAATCAAAAATCCACACATCTACAGTACTAGAGCACAGATAATGACCGCTTGTCAGAATCATACTAAAAAATAACAATTGAATATATCCTATATAATGATTTATTAATATTCATAATTATATTTTTCAATGAAAACTGGCACAGTTTAGTGTGAAAGAAGGACGAAGTTCTTATTATGCTATGTAGAAGCTATTTATATGTACCTCGGTACTCTGGTGCGTTAGTATTAGCGTACCAAAAACTTTTCAAATAAATGATTTATACAATAAGGATTTATACTTTTGAGTTTTTGAGTTTTAATATAAATTATAAAATTAACATTTAATACTTGAAATAAAACCTTGTAAAAGTTTTTCAAATTTCGCTTAAGTTATTTTATTAGTAAATTTTAGAATTTCAAATTATCATACTTTAAAACTATATAACACAATCAATAAAAATCCTAGAAATAAACTATTCATATTTAATTTTTTTGAAATCTATAATTAGAACTCAATAAAACTCAATAGAACTCTATAAATATATATAACAAATTCAGACACAATTATATTTGAATCCATTCGTTTTAAGAATGATTTTTGGTGTGATTTAGGCGATCGGCCATTATCTGTACACAATGATTGTACGTACATCACATCCTCAAAAGTAGATGGGAGCTCTTCAAGTATGCAAACGATGTTATGAAATAGTATATTAATCTTTACACTATTAGGAGGAGATGTCATGAATCTTCCAATTGTAAATTTACATCGATATCGATGTCTGCGGAGATGTTTCTTTGGCGGGTAGAAAGGTTAGGATGTTACTTAGGTGTTTGGGCCACTTGGTTCAAAGTTGGTGAATTTTGTGAGATTACATTCTCAGACTACCAGTATGAAAAACCGATACAAAACAAAATAGCATCATAGCATTTTAATATTAATTCAATAGACATGCATACACACCTACGTTGCACGAAAAGACAAATCAAAAAGTAAATTCTTGTCGAGCCATTAAATGCATTCATTAACCATGGGATATCTAGAATACACGAGCTACGAAAAGAAGCATACGCTCTAGCTCATCGTACATTCCCCTCATCTCATCACCCATCTCTCCTCTACAAGTACAAACCTTCAGGCTCGCCCTCACTCTTCGTCTTCAAGACACGTTCTCTTGCAGCCCTGAAATCAGCCATTTGGACACGCATTCTACGCTCTCTCAATGCCATCAAACCAGCCTCGGAACAGATCGCCTTGATATCAGCACCAGAAAGGTCATCCTTTTGGTTGATGAATTCTTCCAAATCGACGTCTTCGTTCAAGGACATCTTAGATGTGTGAAGAGTGAAGATCTTACGTTTAGTATGTTGATCAGGATTCTCGAAAAGAATTTTTCGATCAATACGTCCCGGACGAATGAGAGCAGGGTCAAGAGTATCAATCTTGTTTGTAGCCATGATAACCTTAACATCTCCACGATCATCGAAACCATCAAGTTGATTAAGGAGCTCCAACATAGTTCTCTGAATTTCACGTTCTCCACCGGATGTAGATTCGTAACGTTTAGTACCGATCGCGTCGATTTCATCAATGAAGACAATGGACGGTGCATTTTCGGCGGCAACCTATAGATATCAGTATTCGTCTTGCCTCAAATGAACATTGAAAATGTGCATACCTGGAAAAGTTGTCGAACAAGTCTAGGTCCATCACCCAAGTACTTTTGAATCAACTCACTACCAACAATTCGCAAGAATGTTGCACTTGTTTGATTTGCAACAGCCTTTGCCAATAACGTCTTTCCAGTACCTGGCGCACCATAAAGAATAACACCCTTGGGAGGCTTGATACCCATCTCCTCATATAATTCGGGGTGTAATAACGGTAATTCGACTGATTCTCGAACTTCTTGAATCTGCGACTCGAGACCACCAATATCTGCGTAAGATTCCGTTGGTGCTTTGTCGAGCTTCATCACTGAAACCAAAGGATCCGTATCATCAGTAAGAACGCCAACAATCGAAACGGATTTGTGATGCAGCAATACACTTGCACCTGGCTCCAAGAGATCTTTATCAACAAAAGACATGATGGAGACGTAGTATTCCGGTCCAGTGGTACTTGAGACGATAGCATGATCATCATCAATCATTTCCTCCAAAGTTCCAACACCCATTGGACTACCACGCATATCATCAACACGACCTCTCTCATCGGCATTTCTGTCAACCGCATCTGCATCACCACCAGCGTTGGCGGGTGCTGCTGTCCCTTCCTTTGCAGCCTTGGCCTTTCTCAAACGTTCTTGATTCTCAACATATTCTTCTTCGAGGAGCAAATGATCGTGAATCCGTTGCATTCGAAGATATCGAAGTTTGCATCGAGATGTCGGATAGACGGCTGGTAACTTTGCGGAGGCATTTGGACCGGCAGCCTTACGCTTCTTGCGACCGATTCTCGTTGTTGGTCTTGGTGGTGGTTCGTACTTTGGCTTATCCTTCTATTGTTGGGCAATCAGTCCATCGTCCATTTTTCTATCATGAGTGCGAAGACGTATGTATACCTTCTTGGACTTGTCATCTTTTCCATCTCCACCTGGTTGATTACCGCCAAGACCTGATGGTTGTTGACCCTTTGAGATTATGTTAGTGTTGTCGCTCATGCAAATCATGGATTGGAAGCTTACCATCTTGTTCTTGGTAAATCAAGAAGCTTTCAGTAGGATAATATAGGATTTCGAATGATCCAGATTCTTGATAGGAGATATTCGGATTAGTTGTGGTGGTTGAAGTTGAGAAAGGTGGTGTATTTTGTCTTGTAATAGATAGATACCCTAGGTAGCAACAGCTTCGATGCTCTTTTAGCCTTCTACAACGATGCAACAAGGCGACAAGCACGACGCGAATGAATAAGAAGCTAGCTTGGCTTGGACCACCTGGGGCGATTTGATCAGTCATTGATGCCTTAGAATTATGTAGCATTACTTAAGCCTCTTCGCCCTATGCAGCCACAGTAAGTATCAGGCACCAACTTCTGTGTTTATTTTTGGCAACAGCAGTGAACTCGAGATGTATCTATTGGCTTGCTCGGATGTCATTACTGCGCTGCTTGCAACCATAATTCCCTCCATACATACGAGATATAGCAAGCACTCTTTCCATTGACAGAACCACGTACAATCAATAAACATATATCCCTTTTACACAGCAGACGTCGGGTAACCTTTGGGCGTAAAGTCAGACTCAGACATAAGGGCTCGTCATATTTCAACCCATTGGTGACATTTCTTTGCAATATCGTTCTCTTCAGTCCAGTCTCACCAGCTTTGATTCTGTATCCCGTATCTCGTATCCCGTTTCCCGTATGGTACGATACGGAGTCAACATTCAATTGACTGCCTCGACTGCTAGGTAGAAGGTGGAACAGCTATCCACTTATCAATAACCCCGCCAAAGTCAGATGTTCAAGCATCCATAAAGTGTGAGTATTGGTGACTTTCTTGCGTTACAGGAATACACCACGACTTTCAAAAGGCTTTATTAGTAAGTGCCTTGTCTTGAATGTCCCTCTTTCTTAGTCTGCGTTATTCGGCATATTCTATCTACTACGGCCCTCGAACGATCTTCTCAATCTGACTTGAAATAGTTTGACAGTAACAGCGAAATCACCATATCATTCTCAATCAACATTCACTATCTAGGTAGTCAAAGAAATCTTGAAATTACCTACAAGACAATCGCGAATTCGTCGAGCCCAATAAGACATCATCCTCAACCCCGATCAGAAGAGTCAATCCAGACCTCGAAACTCGAACATAAAACCTCGAACCTCCATCAACATCAACATCAACAACACCTCTTTTATAGCATAAAAATGTCTTCCAATAGAATGCGTCGTATTGCCAAAGAGCTCAACGATATCGCGAACGATCCTGGCGCTCAAATATTTTGTCAAGCAAGAGATGGTAATGATGGCGATCTGACCAGCCTTCGAGGTTCTTTTCCAGGTCCTCCAGACACACCCTACGAAGGAGGCACATACCTAGTTGATATCAAGATTCCCAATGAATATCCATTCAAACCCCCACACATGAATTTCTCGACCAAGGTCTGGCATCCAAATGTCAGCAGTCAGACTGTAAGTTTTAGTCTTGTAGGGATCGGAATTACATGTTGACGCTTAAACAGGGTGCCATCTGTCTTGATACATTGTCCTCGGCCTGGTCCCCGGTTTTAACTATCAAGTCCGCCCTCCTTTCCCTTCAATCTCTCCTCAGCGAACCTGAGCCAAAGGATCCACAAGACGCCGAGGTAGCCACCATGTTGATCAACCACCCCAAGGAATTTCGAGAGAAAGCACGCGACTGGGCAATTCATTATGCGGGTGCCCCAAGGGTTACAAAATGGTCTCAGGCTGCCGCTTCAAGCCCCTCGTATCACCCTCCGGTTAAACCCCAATCACAAGAAGAGAAGGCGCGACAGGAGATGTTAAAGTACGCCCATTTTTCTTTCATTGTATTTCCCTCGAACGTTTACAGTAGATGGCAGACTAACAAGAACCTACAACAGATATCAAGGATACAACAAGGCTCTGGTCGATCGTTTCGTTTCTATGGGATTTGATATTGAAAAGGTAGTCGATGCATTCAACTTCGTCCATATCGATCGCCATGGCGGGGAGGACTACGAATTAGAGGAGGCTTACATGGGTGATATTACAGCAAGACTTCTTGGAGAACCATGACTCATGAATGATCTTCGACATACAATGAATGGTGGCTGGATGAATGAATGAATGGACACTCCAAGGGAAGATGAAGGGCGCACAAATTTTTGATCAAATGAAGCATGATACTTTTACGATTTAAACGTACAGCTGAGATTCAAGGAACGAATTTCAAGCTCATCAGCTTTCTGTAAGGGTATACAGAATAGCTATATTACGAGTACAATCAAGCAATGGGGAAGGTATGGATGGGGAAATGGCATCTCGGAATTTGAGTCTTTTCCAGGAACAGAGCTTTATTATAGCATAGGCGTTGGCATGGATATGTATCCGCATGGCGTTACGCACAGCTTTCTACTCGATTGCATATCAAACATTTATTAAAATTCTGCTTGGAGCTATGTGATTAGAATGTATGAATCTGCTATTTGAAGACGAGGTAAGAGGGTAAATAGAAGCATAGGAGTCGTTGAGGTTCGGATGCTCTGGCTGCATTCAAATTGTGACATTGACTTGTGAATAAGTATATTTCGACATAGCATTGTCGTATTTCACTCATCAAATCGACTTTGTTGTCAATAGCTTACAGACTGTTTCTTTCTGCATGATTTACAATACTAGTGAAATATGAGGGAAAGTATGGGTTATAGAATATTCATATTTGCTTTCGAGATTTCATGAGTGTGCGATTTGTAGTTAGTTCTGGGAATGCATTATGATGCATGGGGTTGTAGATATGTGATGTAGATACCTAGTATACTGTGGGAATGAGGATGTAGAGTATGATGGGAGGAGAGATGTGATGATGTGGAGTACTTGGTTGAAGATGGGTGTTGGATTTGTGAGGATTGATATTTGGATTTGGATTTGGATTTGGATTTGGATTTGAGGCGGATAGAGGCTGGAGGGAGTGGAAGTAAGAATTGGAGGCGGATAGAGGAAGTAGGAGTAAGAATCGGGGTGGGGGAAGAGATTTTTCAGAGAATTTTGATTGATAGGGTAGATATTTTGTTGTGAAAATTAAAAGAGGAAAGAAGGGGAGAATAGATAGAAAATAGATAGAAAATATAGAATTGCTTTGGGGTTGTTGGAATTGGGATTGTATTGAGAGGTTCTGAGGATGAGGGTGTGAGAGAGTGAGAGGGGGTGGGGGTGAGGGTGAGGATTAAGAGTCTGGGTATTAGATATTAGATACCAGACACTAGGGAATGTATGATAAACATCTATGAATATACATATATGAGATTCGTTGAGGGGTTTGGGGTGAGGTTGATTGAGGTATTACCTAGATTAGGGTGGTACAGTTTAGTATAGTCTGAGTTGTAGTAAGATCACTTTCTTTTCTTTTTGGGGTGTAAGGGAGGGATGAATTATTATTCATTTCTGGGGGGTTGTTTATCTTGGATGAGTAGTTGATTGCCCAAGCATTTGATGTGATTTGAATTTGGCTTTTAGGCAGTATGAGGTTAGCTTAGATTACACTCGATTTGATAACTTGTTTTAAAAAAAAAAGCGATTTTTTTGTATCTTATTACCTTTATTTAAATGGAATTTCAATCATAACTTTATCAATATATCTTCAATTCAAATAAACTCTTTAGAATAATATATATCTTAATTGAATAAACTAATTAATATACGAATTTTCAGATATTTTAAAGATATAATTATTGAACTAAAAATAAATATCAATTTATGAGACTAAAAATTAATAAATTTTGAAATTACTTTTAAATCTTTTTAAACTTTTGTTTTAAAATTTTCAATTCAATTAATAAGGAATTAGAATACTTGAAATTTATACTAATTATATAATTAATTATTCGCTATCATTTAATTAAATCTTCGATTGAATTGAATTTTATTTAATAAAGGTATTATAGGTTGAAGTTAGAAAATATAATCATTAAATGTTTTTATTAAAGTACTGAAATTTAAGGTTTAGAAAACACGTTATAAAATTGTTATAGGAGCTATATTACAACAAGTAATATTGGATTATGTGATAAGTGTTATGTGATAGGATGTTGGAGTTTTTGGAGCTTAGGATTTAAGGAGCCAGGAGTTTTTGGAGCTTAGGATCCAAGGGATTTAAGTAGGATAAAACTATAGGTTTTGTAGAACAGGAAGGTCTATATAAAGAGAACGGGTCTTATTATAATATAGAGTTTCGTATTTAAGAATAATTATTAGTTTCATTATTATAGTTATGAGAATTGTAATTAGTTATAACCTTATTAAATTCCTATTTGAAGTTTAATCTAAATCATTTTGAGAGATCTATAGCCATTTTTATATGACTTTAGAAGCAGCTTGTTATGAGAGCTGCCTCTAGGGTTATATGGAAGTGACTAGAGATTTTTCAAAATAATTTAGATTAGATTTTAAGTAGGAATTCAATAAGATTGTAATTGATTGTAATTCTTATAATTATAATAATGAAATTAATAATTGTTCTTAAGCATAAAGCTCTATATTATAATAAAACTTATTCCCTTATATAAACCTTCATTCTCTGTTGTATTCTTTAGGATCTCCCTATAGGCTGGATCGCTACGGACCTTACTGCGCTCCAGAAGCGCTACAGCTCCTTGACGCTCCGTCACCTACTCATAGTCATGTGACGCGGTACTTCGCAAGGACCGTCGTAACAGAAATTGAGTATATCATTAAAGCTTCTAGAAAATAATTCGAATCCTACTAACTTAAACCAATACAATGTATAATTCTACAAATCGTAATCAATCACAATTAATTAATCTTCCATTCTAAAGGGTTTAAATACACTATAGAGTAATTATAAGACAGACTTGTTGAATGCTCTTCACGAATTCTTATTTCTTCGGAGGGAGAAGGGGGGAGTGGAAACTTTGAATAAAAAGTGGATTATGTAAAAGGGGCTTCGGTTAAAATAACCTTATTAATCGGGAAATATAAGATGTCGATTATTAGCATGATTTCGGGGGGAGAATTATTTGATACTATGGGTTTTGGGGGGAATTGCTTGGGTTTACTTTTTTGATTGGATTGATTGTATATTTTGGTGCTTGGTGTTTGAGTTGAAAGATTGAGTGATGGATTATTGGGAGATGGGGTTGTCATTCTCAGATGAATTGTCATGACCAAGCATTTGCGTGGAGAATAGCATTCTATAGATCGAACAAAAGAGAGTCTTTAGACTACACTTTTAGGGAGGGTTGCTTTGTTTTTCTTGTTAAGTTTATCGCCACATATAAGTTGGCCTGCGATCTATCCACCCCGTCAATCCACCCACCAGCGACTACGCATGTACTAGGATCCTCAGGAATATTGTTCCTAACTGATTAAAGCTGTATCTGTCTTGAATCTCTCTCACAAAATTCTCCTTTTACGAGAATACCCGAGTATCCATACCGAGCTCTACTGACCTATCTGCCATCTCCATCTCTCTTCCGACTGATGGCTCAATTAATGATGCAAGCTCGATTGCCACCGCGACTATTGAGATTTGTTGGATTTTCGAAAGTAATATACTTGAGCCAGTGATATCAGTGACAAGTGTTGAGGAGGTGGGTTCAGGCATTCTTGATTGTTGACCGTGAGGAGAGTTTATTTGGATACTTGGTTCGAGGGTACCTGTCACCCCGTAAGAATATTCTCATGGGGATAATGAATTATTTGACTGATTTTGAGGTTAGCTTTACCGGTTTTGTGATTCTTGATTTCGGAGAGATGTTTGTGAAAAGATTAGATCTTTGGTGGATCAATGCGGAGAAGTCCTTCATGAAAATGTGGAGGTTGGAATGTTTATAATTTTGCGTATTGTTCAAAAGTAAGGTAGCGAGTTGATGCTATGGTCGATTGACAATAGGAATGATTTTCTTGTATGAAGTGTAATTGTGGAAAGATGAAGAAGAAGAAATTTCGATATGTCAGTAGACATGAACACAGCGAGTCTTCATTGATGTATGATTTTGCATGGATGCTTATTTAGTCCAAAAGTTTCGAATAGATCTCGCTACGAGTGTTTGAAATAATGAGATCTCAATTTTTGTACAATTTCAGACAACAAGTTGCTATTCTTCAAATAATATATGGACAATGATTCCCTTTTTCGTGAATCGAATTTGAACAATGGATTCTCATTCTTTGGAATTGTTATGAAAAACGCTTATTTTTTGGATCCACTATAAACAATGCATTCCCCTTTCTCCGAGCCAAATTTGAACAATGAGGGTATAAGGAAGATATTAAAGTGGTGCATTAACAGACTTTTGTCAACATTAGAATAGAAGTACCTAAATGTTTTTGTACTTTTCTCTTCTCATTATTTGTCTGGAAGACACATTTCTCTGTCACCTATTCCATTTATTTGCTGCAAAGATATATGAAAGACACCACTGGCATAAATTCAACAAAGCAAATATTAACTCAATTCCAAACCCACGTTTTTCCAAGAGTGTCCTATGCAAGGCTGATACTCGACTACCAGTTTTCAACGGTATGATACTCTTTATTGGAAGAGACTCATCTCGAGCATCAATAGGCTTGTGTTCCACCAAAATCTTAATCTCAATATCAAATCAAACTTCGATCGTTGTAGAATTGCTGTGATCAGATAAATAAAGTGGATACGCTTGCTTGTTCTCCATGTCACAGTATACTCCTTCTTGGTAGGAAACAAAGTCTGGACCAACAGAAGTATCACTAGCGCAAAGTTCGTTGGCACTGTGGCTAGTGTGATTGCTCGTGATTATTCTCCCTACAAACGAGTGCGAACGAGGACCAGTAAAAGTGGTGCTGGTACTGTTGATTGCCGATGAAGTGTTTGTTATCCATCCCTGACTACGTGGCAGATGATTGGGCTTCCATGATGAACGAGAGCGGTTTTCGTTTCTTCGTTCCCCGAGTACAGGGAGATGGAACTGGTGGTAGAGGGTTGCAATCTAGTTTGCTACACTCGACACCCACGACCAATGCCCTATAGACATCAAGGAGAGTCTTCTGTTTGAATTTGAGAAAGGGGTCGAAATATGGTAAATATGTATCCGTGTTGATATCATCGTACATCCGAAAGCGGGGTTTGCTATCACATACGAGGAAAGTGTCATTTGGTATACAGCAAGACGTTCGATAGTCGGTGTAAAGTCTGTGATGTGAATGCCTAATCTCTTGATGCCAATTCCATTACTACCATCACTGTCAATCCATGTGCATTTTAGCGTATAGTTATCTTGAATATTGGAGATTGTCTGAGCCGGATACCATGGTCCACCACAAAAGTATCCCCAGTCACCCATCCAGGATCCCTTCAGACCATCTGGCCAAGCAACAGTGATATAAGAGATAAAGATAGCACCAGTACCTCCTGATATAACGGAGATATACTGGGCTTGTCTACCTCCCAAATCGTCACTGGCTGGAAGCTTGATATCTTCCCAACTGCCGTCTCCGCAATCTTATTCTTGCTGCTACCTTCCATATCCGATATCATTCGGCCTGCAACGTCAAATAGTCAAATCCCAGGAATATTGCCTGATAGGCTGTCTTCGTTTTGTGTTTTTTCTGATATGGATGTCCTACACCAATGCGAACCACTGTGGTCTTAGCGACCTATTTGGAAATGCTTCATCGAGTAGAGGAAGCATGGTAAGCCCTCCAATGGCGAACCCAATAGCATTAGCCATACTTTCTGGTAGAGGATAGAAACTCGTGGGTGGCAAGAATCAACACATTGTGATGAAGTGGAATTTAAGACGAGATTTGACGGTGGCTTTAGTTGATTCCCAAAGACTTGTTGTAGATAGATAGAAATCTAAAGAAACTTTCCATACTTTTTATAGTTTCAACTTATTTTGCTACCACGTTCTTTCTATACAGCTGGTTCTCACTCTAGCATTGAGCTAACAATGGTAGCAATTGGTGACACCATATTTGGGAGTCAGAGATTAGACCGCGTATGCGAGTTTCGAATCTTGCAAAGAGGATCATATTTTGAATCCTACTTGAGAAGTGAACCACGACTAAATCAGTTGCATTTTTGAAATAAAGGAAATGTAGCATCGTGAAATTTCGTAGTCGTATTTGAAATAATTCTTCCCTATGAGTCATATGATCATAGTTACGGGTCAAGGGAATAGGGTTAGAGACGATGAAACCGATTATCTGATAGATTCAAGTTGATACCAACATACCGAGAAGACTCCAACATATACAAAAGAGAAACAAAGATAAGAGTTCTGGAACCTACTTACTACATATATAACACTTTTCCAACAAAAACCTTTTTTTATTCAACTTTTATACCCTAGTTTATTTATTATATCATGAAGTGAAATTCGAATCTATATCATAAAAGGATTAAAGATTATTGAAAACGTTAATAAAAAGGATAATTTGTTTTGAATTTTTAAAATAATTTTAAAAAGAATTGATATTGAAATTTCTGGAATTTTTGAAAAGATCACTTATTTTGTGGAGGAGAAATGTTACAAATTGAAAATTCTAAACTTTTTTGATAAAAGCTTATATAAATCTTCCATTAAAATATTTAAAAATAGAATGTGATTTTTATATACATTTTGGTATATTCAAATTATTGATCTTGAGAGTTTTAATTTAATATATAATCAATTGAAATAGTAATCTTATATTTTAGTTTATATAAGAAATGATAAATTTGGCTGGGATTATGTTACAAAACGTTACGGTGTACGGTAAGTAAGTTCCAGAATTCTTACAATTTCAATACGTATAGGAACTTCTCGATATGACAAATCAGGTAATGGAAGACCGACAGAATATATGTTGATAGGCTTTCATAACACTCTAGGGGATAAAAAGGCTACGAGGATTCTGACGTACCACTATGGTGTTGATGTAGAAGTTGATGATCGCTTGGGATGGTTTCATATAGTTTTAATGGTAGGAAACTAAAATGTTTATAGAAGAATTCCGTTGAGCTTTTGAGTGCTCTATTACAGGGAGCCTCACCACAAAATTTGAAGCACATGATATATAGGAAATGGGTTTATCACTTGTAGAGAAGCCCGGGGAGGCATCTCAAAGCTATGACAGCATTATAGATACTGTAGCTTGATTGAGGCATGAGGTAGCGAACTTTCTGCCAATTCGCAATTGAGTTTCGATTAAAATAATGTCTATTATAGATACTCTTGCTTCATGGAGAACTAAGAGTATCAATGTGAATATTAATGGGAATATGTTGATGACAGGCGAGCGAGTAGAAATCTGTGCTACGTGAGAAGCAATAAGTACAAGCTAGTGGCCATTTATCGGGGCTGGATCCGATCATTTATCTCCTAAATTCTCGAAGTTCACATATCTCTAGCTCTGAGTATCAAGTAAATAGTAATTCCATAAGGTGTAGCAAGGTATAGATAGAATCAAGGAAAATAAGTAGAAGAACAATCCTATGTACCTGCATAATCATTGAGTGCAAATTCAAATTTGAAATAAGAAGGTCATTTGCAATAATTGCGTGGCTATTCATATTTGAATCCTATTTAAGATTTCGCCGGCCAATAAAACGTAGAAATAGGTACTATAAAAATGTATCTATGTAGGTATCTATTTATGAGGTAAAGTTGTTTGTTCTGCCAAGCGAAGGCGGTGAAGAAGCTGCTGTCTCATCCACGTTGCAACGACTACCAACAGTCACACCTTGGAATACATTTATTTCAATTGGACACACCAACCATGGTCAGATGAGTCAACCTACAAGTAACGCGTGCGGTATGTCCGCGCCGTAGCTGAATCACCTATTTATATTGTTACGAAACGTAGGATCTTTTAAATAATGCTGCACAATCCCAAAGTCCTGGCGATCTTCCTTGCACGCTATTTATCTTTCAAGAGTGTTCTTCAGGCAATATGGAGACTACAGCTACGCGAACTATCAATCTAATCAACCTGCCCAATGATATCGTTGTTTTAACTTTTGCTGAGATATTGGAGACTGTCGGGTTATGGAAGGCTCTTGGCCTGCGAACAGTGTGCAGCACGTTTTTGTAACCCAACAGACACATCATTACTGCGCTAACAAACATATAGGACATTATGAAGTATCAATTACAAATGCAATATGTGTCGATTATATCAACAATCCTCATGGTCCTGTTGATGACACTCTGGAGATATGTCGCAGATACCCTCCCAGTAAATTACCCCGTTTCGCCCCTCTCCTCATACACAAAGAAATGAAAGCCAACACCAGTGACATGATACTTACTCCAATGCATCGAGCAATTATTGCTGTGCCTAAAATTCATTGTCTCTCGGAGGAAAAACAGAGCGAATTGGAGCTTGCCGTTTGTGAAGCTTCAGAGGAACGATTGATCTGGGCAACATCCAGCCGTAGAAACACAAACGGAAGGCAGCAGTTAAGCTTTCTCGCTCCAAGGCTTTCGTGGAATTATAATCCAGTACCTATAGTTGATACTGATATTCCAGTGGATACGATCAACGCCGAAAGAATACTTGATATGCAAAATAGACTTTGCATCGCTATCATCGCCAATGCAATTGCATACATGCGAGTCTTGCTTGAAAGTCACCACGCAGATGCCAACTTTAGAAACAAATACTTCGGTAGACCGTTGTATCTCGCTTCAAGGTACGGACGAGTCGATATAATACAAGTTCTTCTACACCATGGCGCCGACTCCAGCGCAATTCAACCATATTATGGCCCTCACTTGACAGTAGGTTTAGGAAGAGAAAAGTTCTTCTGTTCTTCGGGAAGCGCGTTGCGTGTAGCCGCAATGAATGGTCACTTTGAAACAATGAAGATGCTTGTACAATCACGCTATAATGCAGTATTACCCCTTTCCCACGAAGAAATCAAAATGGTCCTTCATGTTGCGGCGAGGACAGGATCTGTGAGAATTAATTTTTTCATTATGGATATGTTCTACGGGTCACAAGCTGAAAGGAAACATGCAGAGGACGTTCTACTTCAAGCCGCTTCTTGGGGAAGAGAAAATCTACTTACAGTAATGCTGAACGTGGTGTAGATGTCAACTGTATTGCGGGACCGAATCACACTATGCCATATTGGTCGCCCATTCACTGTGCCGCTTATAAAGGTCATGCGAATATTGTCATCTTTCTGTTGTCAAATGGTGCCGAATTAAATCGTGCGATTGTCCGGAGATCAAGAACCTACGTTGGTATTGGATCTGATGCGATAAGCTTTGCAGTCGCCCGAGGTCACAACGAATTAATTCATGTTCTTGTAGACTATGGCGGGATAGTGTTAAAAGAAATAATACACACGGATCCTTCATCAAATAAAACTCTGTTGAACATAGCCGCTCGATGGAGCCAGCACCATACGATGCGTCTCTTGTTGAAAGAAGGGGGTGATGTTACCGGAATAGGCGAGCAAGCTCTGCGTGAATATGCCGTCAAACGTGGAGATCTCTTGATGACACGTCTTCTCATCGATGCTAACGTTTCTCCTTGTGATAACCCCAACAAAAGCCACCAACCAGTGCTCATAGCAAAATGTCATGGGTGGCAGCATATTGTGGATCTATTAATCAGTGCGGGGGTTGATGATATCAATCCTTTTGATACAGATAAGTACCCTATCGACTCACGAAGCTTTCGAGATGGTCATTATCCTCTAAAGCAAAATAAGACACCGCGGCAACTATGGCATATACAAGGCAAAAATTGATTTTATATGCAACGAGAAAACTTTATGGGTTGTAATGCGCAATCAAATAAACCCAAGGATTGTTTTTCTCAAAAAATTTGCTGCAGTTATTACTCTTGCCAAACTTCATTTGATCCTAACTATTGACATTCAAGTAAATCGGACTTTTTCTTACTGAATTGAATCTCTTGTTGATGCACATATGATTTCAAATCCATCGATACTTTAATCCATAGTCTACCTATCAGATTCAAGACTCTGTCGCAGTGAAAATTCTTGCTACCCCATTTACCTCACAAGAAGAGAATTTATGCGACAAGAATGTTGCATAAAGTTTGCAAATGGGGGTAAATTCTTCAATCTGAATGCACCAAAATAGCTGAGCTGAGATGCATCCATACATATTCCCGAACTTGGACCCTTCCCTCACCAAACATATCCCCGTGGTACAGTGGTCTACGTAACGCCTCCACCTAAGCCATAGTAATCGGGGCCCTCTCAATCGGGCCAAATAGGGGACAGTTTGGTACAGTCATTCTATAGTACGAAGTTGATTGGGACCTAGAGGTGCTTTACAGCGCCTCGCAGTTTTGCTATTTTATTCTTTGTTTATTTTATTTTTGTATTTTTTTGAAGATTTGATTTTGAGTGCTTTTGATTCGGTTCGTCAAATAGCGAAAGCTAAGATTATTTTGTGGGGCAATTCTTTTTTAAGCGACGTTGAGGTTAGGTTTTGGATCCTCTCTTTTGGCGCAGTGAATATATTTGAATGAATTTGAAATGTCTAGAATCAAAAGCCAATGGATATTTCGGATGGAGGTGACAAATTAATTCTTTTGTCGCAGCTAGCGACGACCTCTTGCTTTCAAAAAGAAGCTGATGGTGACGCTCAAGTCTGGTATCAACTTTCATATTAGAATAGTTATAAAATCAAAGTAGCATTAAATACAAGCTCTCACACACTAACTAGCGACCTACTCCTAGAAGTCAGAAATAAAGTGATATCTTTCAATCTCTATCTAATGCAGTTAATGACATGTCTAATCTACAGACATGTACCCATATCACTAACAAAACACAATCCATTCCCAAACCACCGTCACTAATCCCCAGCTCCAGTATCTACTTACACCCATAATTGAGCATGCAGATATAGGAGGTGAAGAAGTGTCTCCCCCAACCTCCCCATTCGCACTTTCCACCACTTTCAAACAACTCAAATGCGATTCTGCACTGGCGATAATAGACGAGGTATCATTAAGACTGGATGTGTTCCATAAAACTGTGAGGATTGGGGTGATGCCATCATAGAACTCGCCCTTGGCAAGGTCTGAAAGTAACGCGAAGTGAGAAACATCCACTATACTCGAGGATGTGGTATTGTGGACTAAAGATAACTCATAATTCTCCCCAGTCGTTGGGATACAATCGGGCGATTTGGGTGTGCTTGGTGGAGAAATTGGGGATCTCAATCCTGTTATCGTCATATCATCTATAAGCTTTCACTACCACATCGCTCACTATCGAATTTGCGGACCTTGTGCAACAACATCTCCCCAGCTACCATCCTTTGCCGCGGTACAAGATGTCGGAGCTTGACATTTGAGGGCTGACTGTAATGCATTGCAAATATCTGTTTCGGTCCGAGCATTTGACGTGCTCGTCAAAATTTTGGCCATCTGAGATTGAGATTGAGATTGAGCTGATAGATCACCAACACAAGATGCTGTTAGAGCATCATTACATGTCCCTGTAGCACTGGTTCCAATGTTAAACCTGATGCTATTCCATCGAAAAATAGCGCGCATGCATGGGTGTTTGATCCCGAGGTCAAATTAACCGTCGGAGGGGTGTCAAGATAAAAACCCCGGCTCAAGGTTATATTAAAGGAGTAGGTGGCAATGAGATCGACGGGGCCCACAGGAGACAAAGAAGTTTGACGATGCTTGAGATGCGTAGTAGGGACAGATGGTTCAACTGTGTCTTCGGATTCTTGAATCCCCAATGTCCAGGTAAAGGGCGATGAATCGACCGAAGTATTAAATGAAGTGATTCCAATCACAGAAAGTGTGATATCGTTGATTTTGCATGCGGGTGGATTGTACCGAGTGACACAGTTCACAGAATCACAACAGAAGAGCGTTTGAGCCTTTATGATAGTTGAGATAGAAAGCACCAAAGAAATGGAACGTAACACTCGTTTTACTTCTTGAAGGTACATGTTGATGCAAAAGTAGAGTTGATGTAGTGGTGGTGCTGGTGGGCGAGACTCCTTTTCATCAACCAAGAAATCAAATAGCTAAAAGGATCGAAGATGTCAAATTTGGAGGACTTGATATTTGTACTTACATGAATCGCTCAGATTATAAAGTAGAAATAAAACGCTGAATCAATCACTGGACTGCAGATATCCCATGGAAACCGTGTCGTAAGCATCCCAACAAGTACAAACGTGAAGTGAAGAATTTGACGAGTCAAATTACGAAAAAATTACCTACCCACTGCGATGCAGATGTTTCTATAATTATACTGTGTAGCCAATAACCTCATCAAACTTTTAATATAATTATCAGAATGAATGGTACACCGACTGCGTAAAGAGGCTTAAAACAAGTCGTTCAATGCCAGGACCAATAGAAACGTCAATATCTAGGTATATTTGATCCTTTAAATAGAATTAATTCACGCCGAAACAAAGGCGAGAGGCACAGCAAGACTTGAGAATTGTCTTACTCAAATCCGTACTCTAAATAAGAAATCATAACTGCCATGTACACTTGCGCAATGGGTTGATAAGAATGACACGTAGCTAGAAACATCGGCAAAGTTGAATGTTAATGTAAAGAAGCTTTTATTTCTGCCACACTTGAAGAAGGGGCTACATTGGAAAATGTACGACAAGAGAATAGTCATTTTGATGTAAACAATTAAAGCGATCCTACTCCATCATCAGGATTGAGAAGGAAGAAATTTGCACTTGTCAGGATCAATACCGCTGTAGGCACACGTGAGATACTCATACTGTTTGTTTCCTGATACTGGGTGACATCGTGTTACAACTGTAATCACCGCCGTCTCGTTTATGGACGCGAAAGTAGCTAAGAACTCTGTGCATACTGGTATGAATCATTGGTAAGTCGCTCGAGAGTCGTTGATTGTTGTCCTGAAGGTATTGAAGTCCCGTGTTCCCCACTTTTGATTTCAAGAAGGAGATAACCTAAATTGGACCTCTCAATCCTCAAACAATCATGTGTAAGATTACCTCCATTCGGTTCATCAACCAATTCCAAAGCCTTTAGCCGACTTGTCGTAAAACCGTAAAGATTGTGAGCCGACAATCTTTCGTTGACGCGCATATAGATGGATGCATCGACCATGACTTCATGGTCACCAACGCTTGTGGTTGGCAGATGCCAAGATATGCAGCAATTTAGGCCAATTTCTACTTATTATCACGTTCTTTGAGAGTGGGAGTAGATGGAGAAATAAACGTCCTTTGTCGGCGTAATGATGTGCGATGCGGCAGCTATTCCCGAACAGAATACCGATGTAAGATCGTCGAGAGATTTCGGGGAAGAATCCGCCGGAAAAGACACGATAGTCCTCGAGACAACCATAGTGGATGAAAAGTACCTTTTGGAAGTGCCTACCTTCGAGCTTTTCATTTCCTCTCATTCATCTACCAGCGCAAGACTCAGGGCTGTGAGGTGTCACGAGATGATGCACATTGACGTCTTGAATGCTTCGCTCTGGTCTTCTGAAGTATGGGAGATTCATGATGAAACGAAACATTTGTGTTTCGGGAATTTGTAAAGCCCATGGAATTTGAGTATTCTTTTTTGTTTTTGGCAATTTTCCAGTCTTCATCCATGCATCTGTTATGATCTATGAGCTTAATTTCATCCAAAATATCTCCCGGCGTTGGAAAATTTCCCGCATTTGTCTGGCAGATTTCTGGGGTAATCAATCATACACAATATGGAACCCCAGATTTCTGTTGTAGCCAAGATGTCATTACCCCTGTGGTATAGCAATATAAAGTTGTTTCGCTGGCTTTTATCCCACGAATCGCCAAGCGTACCTTACATCACGCGTAGCTGAAGTTCATTACTTTACCCAGTGTGCTAAATTCGTTGTTTGATCGTCGCGAGTAACCTTTTCAATGCGCATCATTACTCCGTTCGGCAAACGGAATGCCCAATTTTGGAAGCCGGAATGCATTCATACTTTCATGTGCATGCCTTTTTCGACCCTTTTCCACTTTCTTTCAAACTTATATATAAGCGCAACAATACTCTTCGAGTCCTGACATTGCCAAGGAAGTGATCGAGTTGTCCGGCTGAGCGGGCGTGAATTCGGCGAAAGATCATTCAGCATGCTAGATGCTCCCTTAGTCAAGGGAAAATGAATTGCCATGCACTTATATGTGCTAAGTATGTTCCCCCAAATTTATGTTCTGTTCATCAAGTGCTATGCTCTCTTTCATTCCACTCCACTCATACCTAAAACTAAAACCTAGTACTCCAAGTCTTCCGAACTCACAATGCGTTTAAATCTGAAAACCATTCTACTTTCCGCGTCGTTGTTCTTGCCATCTCTTGTGTCTGCCCAGCTAGCTTCTGGCTACCCGATTGGCCCCCTTACTACTTCAGATGCGAAATGGGCCAAAAAAGTCTGTGATGTGACTAAGTATGGCGCAGTAGCCGATGGAAAGACAGATCTGGGACCAGCTCTTCTTGCCGCGTTCAATGCCTGCTCAAGTGGTGGCGTCGGTATGTTTGTAGACTTGCGTAATTTTGGTGTATAATACTAAGATACAATCTAGTGAACATCCCTCTTGGAAACTATGCGATGTCTACATGGGTTACACTATCTGGTGGTAACGCATGGGCCATAAACCTCGAAGGTGTCATTCTTAGAACTGGGTGAGCTCCTTCGCTGCTTCAAACGCGTTTCAGGTTTGCTAATCATTTGTATACAGTACTGCAGGCGGACATATGATTGTTGGTAAGTTTACCGCCTGAATATTTGTGTTTCTACCATCTTCTAATTCCCAACTATAGTCCAAGACTCTACCGACTTTGAACTCTACAGCAGTAGATCAAGCGGCGCTATTCAAGGTTATGGATATGTATTCCATGCACAGGGAATTTATGGGTAAGAGTCTATGATGAAAGTCGTCTCAAGAGTATCGTTAACCCTTGGTGAAGGCCTCGTCTCATTCGACTAATAAACGTTGTCAATTTTTCTATCCACGACATTGCACTTGTCGACTGTAAGTTCCCCCTGAGCTTTTTCTACCGAACTTGTTTCAACTTTCGAATATATTCCCATGCAGTCCCACACAGTCAATTGCATTATTTCTTCTAGCCTCCTTCCGAAATCCATCTTCATTTCTACCGTCAATCTTTACTAAACATTTTACCAGCTCCGGCATTCCACCTCATTCTCGACACCGTGCAACATGGCCAAGTATACAACCTGATCATTCGTGGTGGAAACGAAGGTGGATTAGATGGCATCGATGTTTGGGGCTTCAACGTTCATATCCATGATGTAGAAGTTACCAACAAAGACGAATGTGTCACTGTCAAGGTATGCTCTGCCACCTTCGCAATTTCTTTTAGAAAGCCTCCACTATGCGACCCATCTTATCTAGAACATCACAACTCGTGTAAAAATGATGCTAACGGAAACCAGAACCCATCTAACCACATGCTAATTGAAAACATCCACTGTAATGTTAGCGGTGGATGTGCGATTGGTAGTTTGGGAGCAGACACTGCCATTTCGAAGATTACTTACAATAACATCTACTCCTGGCAATCTAATCAGATGTTCATGATCAAGAGTAACGGCGGATCAGGTGAGTTCTCCTCACTTGTATCACTATTACCCTTTCTAACCAGAGTCTCATAGGGTCGGTATCCGACAGTGTGTTCTCGAACTTCATTGGTCACAGTAATGCATATTCTCTCGACATCGACGCATATTGGAAATCAACACCAGCAACTGGCAACGGGGTGTTATATACTGGTCTCACTTTTTCAAACTGGAAAGGAACTTGTGCAGATGGTACCCAAAGAGCACCTATTCAAGTCATTTGTCCAACAGGCCAACCTTGCGCGGGTTTGAGCATTACAAACTTTGCAATGTGGACAGACGCGGGTAGTTACGAGTTGTATAAATGTCAGAATGCTTGGGGTGATGGAGGATGTTTGGTTCACGGTACAGCACATACAGCTTGTAAGTTGCCACATCTTTTTGATCATTGCGATGTCTAACGAACTCTATAATAGACTCGATTGTGACACAAACGGTATCCTCAGCGCCTTCTGGCTACTCTGCAGCAAAAATGCCGAATGATTTGGCTGCTGGATATGCGCTGACGGCTAGTATCCCTATCCCCACGATCCCTACTACATTCTTCCCTGGACAAGTTCCAGCAACGAAGAGAGCGTATCCTTAGTCGTCAGATAGAGGATAGTTATGCATGCGGAAACATAAGAAGTGTAAAAAGTTGCAGGAAAGCAAGATAGTTCGTAAAGTTTACTTTTCTTCATACATTGAAGCTTTCACTCCTTGTTATTCCTCGATATACGTGTTATGTCCATATAATATCTGCAAGTTCCCTCTTCGGGGTATAACGACCGAATTGCGCATCTCTTGTGATAAAAATCCAATATCTTCGTCTTGACATGCAACTCTCGAGATTTTGACCGTAACTCCAATCGCCATTACTCCAATATCCCATGCGGTTTTTACATCATTCATGCAATGTTATCAACCTCCATTCCCTCGCTGGCTGCATTTGATGTAGTCTCTGGCGCATCTAGAATCGTATTTAGTATCAGAACCTTGAATATCAATTGCAAGTTTGTAAAGTGCTCACCAGTCATCTTGACCTCTCCTTCCTTCATTGCCTGCTCCAATGCTCTTTGACGTGCACAGTTTTGCGCCTTTTGGACCTTACGAGCCTTCTTTCCGGATAAAGGTGCTAAAGGTCCACTCGTAGGGAACAGAACAGTACTGGCTCTGGTACCTCTTGGGTTTTTGGTAACCTTGTTGATAGCGTTCTTGCGTTGAGTCTTTGCTCGGTTTGCGATCTTGCGCTTCTTTTGGGGAACATTGGGGTTGCTTTTGGATGCCATTTTGAAGTGATTTTTGAATTTCGAGTTGTGGATTGACCTGCAGATGGAATTCTTTGAATGAGGAAATAATTTTGAATGCACAGGGGAGTGATCCACTTCGGGTGAACACTTTCACCGGAATTCCGATGCTTGCAGCTGCGCCACAACCCAAGTTTACTACCTGAGCCCGGAATTCATCATCATTGTCATCAGTTTTCTTGAATATATTCACATTCAAACCCATATTACCAATACATCACCTTCTTTCTTTACCATCTTTGTAGTGGTCAGCATACAACTTTGAACTTCTTTGGAGTTTTCAATTCTCATTCTATCTGCACACCACTAGCAGTCCAGTTTTGAAGATACCCGACTATTCCTTGTGTTGTTGTTTACTCTGAATAAGTCATCATGTCGTGGGCAGGTAAGAAGAATACATTTGTGAACTTTGGGAGGATAAAGAAGATCAAACTAACGATCTATCTGTCAAAAGGCTTTAAGAAGAATGTCAATAGGGCAACTACTCAGGTTATGATGAAGACTGGTAAGTGAACCTACCTCAGAGTAACTCAAGGAACTTGCGGGGATTGGGGGTGGACGTCAAAGAAATATGAAGCCATCCCCGAATTCTTGCGAGGATCTTTCGAGTTAGGATCTGTTTATTTTCCAGGCAGCAAACTAATTTTATTCATTCAAGGTCATGTTGAGAAAACAAATGATCGCGATTACGAAGTTGAAGAAAGGTTAGTTACAACTTTATTACAAAACCACGATGGCTACGACAACCGCCGAACACCATACCATGGCGGAAGAATGCGACGAGGAAATGAAGGCGCTCTTGAGAGCTGTGCAAGAAGTCAGCTTGCGATTGACTTTGGAGAATGCTGGTTACTCCAGTAACTCTGAATCCGAATCCGATTACGAGTCAGAAGATGAAGAAGAAGCCAAGATCGACGACAACAATTCATCAGGCTATCCTTCAACCACTTCCTCCAACTTTTTGTCCACGCCATCCGCTTCATCTGTCAATTACTACCCATCAAGCCCTGTCTTGCACTCGGCCTCGACTTCCTCCAACATTTTGACCGACTACCTTCCATCAACTCCTATCTTGCTTTCCAGATCGATCTCTTCCAATTCCGGAAATGAAGACTTGGAGTGGGATTATTTTTTGACCCAATTCATGGCGGCCAAAACTGAAGAAGAAAAGGAAATTGTAGTTGACCAAGTTTCTAGACGTTATCGCACAATGGAAGCCGCTTCATTGAGACTGCAGAAGGAATCAAAGGGTTATTTGGACTCTTTGAGAGGTAATTCTAGTTGTTCCGATTTTTTTGAAGGTGAGCTGACAATTAATGCAGCAATGACCGCTTCTCAGATGCGCATTGCTGAGACCATTGATGCTTTCTACGGTGATGCCGGCGCAAAGGATGGTGTCAGTCGCAGTTACAAGCAAGCTGTAGAGGATCTCGACGCCGAGACAATTAAAGCCCTTGATGGCCCATACCGGTGAGATTCGCACATTTATTTGCGCAAAATGAATGAAGCTGACATTACTAGTACTACTGTCTTGGAGCCCATCTCAAGATTCTGTGCCTACTTCCCCGATATCAATGAGTGTAAGGATATTGACTATTTTCTTTTGATGCCTGCTAAACGATTTCTAGGTATTAAGAAGCGTAATCACAAGCTCCTCGATTATGATGCCATGCGCGCAAAGGTTAAGAAGCTCGTCGAGAAGCCAGATAAAGATGTCACCAAACTCCCTCGTGCCGAAAAGGAGACTGAGATGGCCAAGGCGGCTTACGAGCAACTCAACGACCAACTTTTTAATGAACTTCCTCAACTCATCGACCTTCGTGTTCCTTACCTTGACCCAAGTTTCGAAGCTTTAGTCAAAATCCAACTTCGCTTCTGTGCTGAGGCATATTCCAGAATGGCACAAGTACAACAATATTTGGATGCTGATACAAGAGAGCAATATGCGCAAGGACATCTCGATAGCAGGGTTGAGCAAGTTTTGCAAGAAATTCGCGAACTCAGCATCAGTGGAACAGTTTGAGCAGTGCGATTTCATTTGGGGTTAATATCAAGGAATGTTATTTGCATGGTACTTATGGTACTTCATGAATATATGACTGGTGTTACATGGATGAAAGTTAGGGTTTTGACTGGCAATCGTTGTCATTTGACTTCGATATCAAAGGAAGGCGTTTGGGAAAGTTGTATACCATTGCCAGACCCGATTGTAAAGGACTGAGCATGTATCACCTAGGATTGGTTTTTCTGTAGACGATAATTCCATCATCCTGCTTGCAAGATCATAATCATCACCTTGAATCATATGTATTTCGTTGCCTGTGATATGACATGATAGCTGACGTTGTTGCGCGTCATTCGAGGTTTGGCTAATTGCTAAATAGAGAATCATAGACCTAGCTCTAGGGAATCTAGGGAGATTATCGTTTCATACCTACTTGATTATCATCTCATGATAATATGGCTTCAGTATTTCACGTGGACTTGCACTTCACAATTCTCATTTTTGATGCTTAGATGTAAATGCGTCCACCATTTTCCTGTAGGACTATCGTCCAATTATCAACTCAATCAAGAATAGAAGACATCAAGTCGTTCCATTCTTCGAATATGAAAATATCTGTTACATGATTCGGATTATTTGAAACGATGAAATTTTATACAGACTTTGTTGCACATACACTACCGGCATAGATTAGATACTAGCATCGCCAGGGCCTCCTCATAGATCGGCAACCTCCTTTGCCCACAATTGAAACTTGGCCTCACGTACCTAGGGATCTTTGCATGTGGGATCGATATCTTTAAACGTTATTTGTTTGGTAATGAGGCGCTTGTAGTTTTTTGCCTTTGAATTTTCGAATGAACAGGAAAATGATGAGATGTGGGAGACTAGTTGAAGGTTTCTGAGGTGCGGAAGAGGAGACTAGGGTGTCGTCAGCGAAACGGATTCGCTGGGAAGAGGGAGCCCGAGGAGGGTTCTTTGAAGATATTAGTTGGAGGGTTGGATTCTAGGAGAGGGATTGAGTGGTCGCTTGTATACTTCCGCGTGCTAGATTTGTTTTCTAGACAGGGTGCTTGGCTCGAGAATCGAAACTTCATGGGAGGGATAAGAGAAAGATGCGTTGCTTCGTGGATGCACACATGGGATATCCCTAAATACTAGGAATCAAATGAAAGATCGTCTCTGCAATGAGGTTTACTGGTGGTCTGATCATACCACTGTACTACGAGATGAAATCGCACATTCGCGTCCTTTGATGCGCTTTGGGATGTTGATTCTGGGGTTGGAGGGTTTGTGGTATGACAGCTGGGGATGAAGGTTTGATAGCTCTTGACGCGTACGTTGACGGAGCTAGATAGGGAGAGTGGATGGGAGAATGCTATTATTGGTGTGTGGTGAGAGATAGCTTGGGTTGGAGATCTGAGCTTTGGGAGAGATGATGGATGGATGGATGGGTGGATGGGGTGGAGTAATGTATATAAGAATACTTCTCGTCGTTCTAGACTCAGTATCTGGACATCTTCACTTCCATTCTACATTCTCATTAACGTTTTAGAACATCTTCGGCAGGACCGTGTTTATTTCTTACTTTTTTTTCTATCTCAATAGGCCATTTGATCTTCTTCATTATCCCATCCAACCCAATCTAGCCAAGCCATCAAAATGCAATTCTCCACCGTCTTCCTCTCTCTCCTCGCCGCCACAGCCATCGTAGCAAAAGGCAACTCCACCAAACCCGTGACCGACAAATCCCTCTGCAAAGAGATGAACAAGCTCGAGAAGCTCGTGGACCAAGCCCAAAACACCACGAAGCTCGCCTCCAAAACCAACAACAACCAGACGGAAATCGATAATATTGTGGCGAAAGCCAGCGCGGCCGCTGTGCAGCTCGATGCGATGCAGGCGAATACTACGTTGGTGTCGACTTGTGCTGTGATTGATGCGGCGCAGACGACGAAGAAACAGTGTGATAAGATGGAGGGTATGTATTTTATTTCTTTTCTTACTTCTATTCCCATTTTCTTTCTCTATTTCACTATATTACAATCCCCATCTCCCCAAATCTCAATCCCTCATCCAAATCTCACACCTCCTCAGACCTCCAAAAAACCATCGACACCGCCGGCAACAGCACCAAGCTCGCCGCCAAAATCAAAGGCAACGCCACAAAAGAAGCAGAATACCAAGCCAAAGCCACGAAAGCCCAAACGAAACTCGCAGAGATGATGAGCAATACGACGTTGGTGGATGCGTGCAGTGTGTTGCAGACGGAGAAGGAGGCTAAACAGGCGGATACGACGACCACGAGCGCGGCGACTAGTTCTACTACGGCTGCGAGTGGCGCGGCGGGATTGGTGTGTGCGAAGTTCGGAAGTTTGATGGGTGCGGGGGTCTTGGTTGCGGTGGGGATGAGTTTGTTGTAGAGAGGAGAGGTGGGGATGGAGGTTGTGGGGGTGTGGGATTTGACGGGGAGGGAATTGGGGGGAGGGAATGGGGGAGGGAGTTGATATGTATATTGGTATATCAAATCAGAGGCCGTGGAATTGTGAACATCTACTCCAAGAATCAAGTTTGGATCAGACGATGAAGAAACACCCAGTTAAAGCAGAAGAGATCTACACACATCATGGACTCGCAACCTCGTATACTATAACAAACTACATTCTTTAGACTGCACTATTCACAAGACAAACTTGAATCCTGATAAGACTGAATCAAAAATCACATGTTGGAAAATCAAACAATCAAACAAGAAACAATGAGTACTCGACTAAAACGTGACGTCTTCAGAATTGTATCTTGGTGATGAAAATAACAGACAGAAAAGAAGATATAATGATTTTACCAAATGACCCTGACACTACATGACTCGACACACTTGTTCACAAGGTCAACACGCAAGGTATTCCATCAACTTCAAGGCTCAAGGCAGACTGACTATCCACCCGTCATCCATCCATCGATGCGATCTCGTAAATACTTCAATCAAAATCAACTATTATGAATCATGATACAGAGTCTCAATACCCGCTCACACTCACTAAAACTCAAGCGCGGCTTAAAAACTCCCTCATCCCAAACAAGGACAACCATCAAACTAACTGTAGCAGGTGATAAAATCCTCAAAATGGATCAAAATCAACCCAAATCAATCCAAACGACATTCGTTATTGGATATCAATACGCACAGCACCACCCGTGTAACCTGCAGATTCTAGCGGGCGGAGATTAGTATCTAACTTCATTCAACATGCGGAGTAATTAGTGAGTGACAACTACCATCTCACGGCATACCTACCATTCAACCCTCACAACTCGGTTCCCTCCCCTCCCTTGCAAGTTCAAAATACCCGAAAATAAATCCCCGTACTCCATCCATCTATCCCATTCATATACCGGTCCTCAAAATCCCAATCCTTTAGCCGCATAATTAATTTCTCTGCCTAAAAGACCTGTCCGTCGTACCAATTGCCTCCAGTTGTCAGAACCTTATTTCCTTTGCGAACGCCCGTTAAGGCTGTGAGGAACCGAGCATAGACCCACGTGTAACCTTAATTGTTTTTGTGGCTTTTTTGATAGGTTTCTGTTTGTCGTATGGATGAGCTGAAAAGGTGTTGTCGAAATTTTGGGGTCTTGGGTTTGGGGAGTGGAGTGGAGTGGGTGATGTAAATGTGATGAGGTGTAGATGTGAAATTTTTATTTCATGATTGAATGGTGTTGTTTGAGGCTCAAGTGAACAGTGCCAAGCATACGTATATCTGCGTTGGAAATCTAAACTCCAAGTTCTACAAATCGCGTAACCAATCATACAACCCCCCTAAGGTATGATAAATCACAATGACACATCTCAAACTTTCATCCAGTAATATTCCAAGCCAAGTAAGGAAGCAAACCAGTATTGCAACCCAAGCGACGATCGACAAAAAGGTGGAAGTGAGAAATATGCAAGAGGGAGTGAGGCTGAAAAATGCCATGCCATGCACCTTCCCGCCCTCTCGTGTCACGAGGGACTCAGGTAGGTACGAAGGGATAGATATTTGAGCAGACGATTTTCCATTCAAATATGAAGTTTTGGTAGATTACTTTTCAAATTCGTGGATTCTCTCGCTGTCACATCAATATTCTTATTCGTATATTTTAAGCTTGAATACTGTACCACGATAAAGAAGTCTTCGAGTGGAATCAAGCATATCCAAAAACTTCCACAATGACTGCCGCGAATACAACTCATATTCCTGGTGCGAGGGGTGCTTTACTTGGACTTCGCATTGCACAATTGGCGCTTGCAGTGATTATACTTGCGCTTTCGTCGTATGGAGTTTACTGGCTTGTATATGATGGAGATGCACTTACATTGGCTTCGGTAAGCTTTGGTGATCTCCTATTTACTCATGTTCAAGACTAACTGCGAGGGATCTTCAGGCCGCCATCTCGATTGTTATTTGTGTCTATGTGATAGTAGCAAGCACCGGCGCACCGGTCATGTATAACTACTGGGCGATACTCGGTCTGGACATTATCGCCGTGATACTTTGGGCGGTATCATTCCCGATTCTCGCCTCGCAAATCGCAAGTGCCATTACTGTCGAAGATACTTGCGACTCATATTACTATTGTTACTACTACAAAAACAAACGTGAAATAGGTCTTCAGAAGCGTGCAGAGACCACTTGGGAGACATATAAGAATGTGATGATTGCAACATCTGCATTGGGCGGGCTTGAATTGTAAGTGTTAAGCATATTCATTCACCTTGTGAACAATTGTTAATCACATTTAGTGTACTTTTTGCGATTACACTTATCATGCTCGGCATTAATCTTCATCGACATCGCAGTGCGGGAGGTCATTGCCAACCTGGTGCTGCAGATCCTAGACAGGTCGATTTTGAAGAGAAGCAACAGCGTACTGTTACTGCGCCTGCGGAGCAAAGTCAACCTGAGGTCTATAATCCACCAGTCATCCACCACTAGATGTACCCACGACCCTGGTATACTCAGAAGGAAATGAAGATAAAGGAAAGAGTGTCAAGGCTAGGAGAGGATGTATACGACGGAGTACGAAGTTCTGATCGAGCTGTTGGATGATACCCGAATATTTCTTTCGTGTGTATAATGTTTTGAACGAATAGGATAATAAGACTGTACTAGAGAATGAGAATTGCGAATTGTATGAAGCTTTTAACACGATATGGCCTGTTCCGTATTGATCACTTGAACCCGAGTGACACGAACCACTAAGAAGTTCCAGAAAGTAAGCTTTGAATTAAGACTTAGTTCCGAAGAGACTTCGGAGATTCCCAATCCCCATATGCTCAATGATCCAGAATCATTAGTCCTTCACTAAAAGACTAGATTCCGCAATCACAAAGAAAAATGTACCGAATCTATTCTTATCCTTCAACAAACAGAAGTGATATGAATACTAATACCAGTGGGTAGCTCAATAACATCACACCAAAACAACTATTCTCCACCTCACAGCCAACTTTTCCGTGGCAGATCAGGATGATGTCTAGCTAGCTACTAGGTAGTTTGCTGACAATTAGACCGTGACTCGAAGTATCACCTAAAAAGTTCGGTGATGACTCAGATTATTTAGAATCACAGGACTAATTAGGTGGCTCAGGACTAGACTAGGTAGACATAATAGTCTAAGAAAAATGATGTATTAATAACCTAGAAGAATTAATTCGAAAGTATTACTTTACCAGAATCTTATATATAGATATATAATCCTCCCCTGGTTACTTATAAAAACAAATGCAAGAAGAAACCGTTGAAAAATATATTCTTATCCAAGGAGACAACAAATTCGAAAATTGTTAACTTATCGCTAAAAGAATTATCATATCATACCACCACTAAAACCCCTGTTCAAATGACGCAGCCAAATCGCGTCCGCGCGCCAAAAAAGTTATTCGCGATTGAGGGGGAAAAAGATTTAGATTTGAGTGTGGAATCACAAACACAATCGCAAACAAACTTACAATTACCAACCCCGCCATCCTCCTCTACACCCACGCCCTCAAGCTCACCATCATCCTCCACTCAAACCCTCACCCCAACTCCAACCCGCAAACAAAAGCGCCGCGCCCTCCTCGCCGAATCCCTCACTCTTTCCCTCTACACCTCCAACTTCCCAAATCCCACCCCAGAAAGCGATGTCCCCAACCCCATCTCACCAAACCATCTAACACCCACACCCACACCCACACCCACCATGACCATCCCCACCCGCCTCCTCATCTGCTCCATCGGCAACCCAGCCCCCTACACCAACACTCTGCATTCCGCAGGCCACACGATCCTGAGCCTCCTCGCCCCCTCTCTCCAAAATCCCACATTCCAAAAATCCCGCTCCTACGGAAACGGTCTGCTATCCCCCGGACCCATCTACACACTCTGGAAATCCAGTTCCCTGATGAACATATCCGGCGTCGGCGTTTCAAGCGCCTGGACGAGTTTCCAGCGGGAATCCTCTTCCGCAGAATGTAAACTCGTTGTGATACACGATGAGTTGGAGTTACCGGCCGGAAGAATAAATGTCAAGTCCGGGAGTAATAGTCCAAAGGGGCATAATGGGTTGAAGAGTATTCGGGATACGTTGCGGGGACAGCCGTATACGCGGATTGGGATTGGGATTGGGAGGCCGGAGAGTAGGGATGCGGGAGTGGTGGCGAATTATGTGTTGAGGAAGATGAGTGCGGAGGAGAAGAGGAAAATTGAGGGGTGTGTGGGAAAGGTGCTTGAGGAGTTGGCGAAGTTGAGTGGAGAGTAGACAGGGCAGACATTATTTTAATGGTGCTATATGGGATGATTGAGATGGGGTGATTGAGATGGGATGGAATGTTAGAAGTATTTATCCGAATTTATTTCGGGATAACAACACTTTACGGCATGGGATATTTGGACACGAAATTTGGGACGGGAATGGGGCTGGTCGTGCTGAACATATTATCCATTGATTTTGTACATTTCTTGTAACAAAAGAAAAACGCCCGCTGATGCATATGATACCCCTAATAGACTAGATATTGAGAATAGGAAAAGGGAGAACAACTTTCATGCGCTTTTAAAATCGACCATTACCAAAATGAAATGACAAACGAAACAAACTAAGCTACTCGAGCCTCATTGTTCTTCCCTAAAGTGCTTGGGCTTTCTGGCGAGTCATCATCGCTCATCAATCCTTCCAACTCGAACTCTTCTGCGTCACGAATCTGCCTCGAATCTGTGTGAACATGGCCATTCATCCGGGGAAGACGAGCTGGAGCGCCCTCTCCATCCTTTGGAGGCACTGGAGGCGCGCTGGTGTTGACTGCATAGATATGAACCAACATATTGGTCAATAAGAATATGAGGAAGGCGAAACTGTATAATACAAGGACGTAAGATACGTGAGTGATTCCTGCATCGGAGATAAGTTTCATTTGTTCTTCAGTAGCTCCCATGAACAAGAAACCAGATGCGTAAAGTAACTATCATAATTAGCCTAAAGTCTTCAGGTTCTGGAAGTAGAACTTACAAATGGTGGAACGTATTGGAAACTGTTAGCATCACCGTCCTCGGACAGGGTAGCCTTATCTCTCAAGAGGAAACTAATCTCAATAATTCTTGAAAGTCCGGCGGCCATCAAAGTATATCCAAAAACACTGTGGACCATGGTACTGAGTGGGAGATGCTGTGGGTGTCCAGACATAGCCCATCCAGTGATGAAAATGACAAATCCGGGAATGAAATTTCTCTTTGGCGAACCATCTCTCTTTCTGCTCAACCAAACTCCTGCCAAACCAGCAGTCCACCAAATTACTCCCATAGTAGTGTGTTGAATATCATTTGCGACCCAAGCGCCACCCCATCTGTGTTCGGTGAAAGTATTGACGCAACCCCAAGCTGCGATAACTGCCGAGTCGAAGAATTCTTGGGATCGTCCGGTTTTTTTCAACCAAACTTGTCCAACGAGCATAACAATCGTAAGTAAGATACCATAACCGATGAATGCGCTGCCCATGATGAAATGTGCGAGACATTGACCGAGATGATCATCACGACAGAAACCCAAAGCTGCAATTCCACCGAAAAGCATTTGTACCCAAGCCACAACTGGCATTGCCTTTCCAACAATTCCATGACCATGAACCGCGACCTTTCGGATCTTTCCGTGGAAACCTTTGGTGATATGAAATTTGAGGTAGATACCGAATACAACTTGAACGGCAAGCATAAGCATCAGGATGTTGGCGAACGCCGAGTGAATATTTTTCGCAAAGACTCGTCCGCCATGGAGATGCCCCAAGAAATATCCCGCCACTGCGATAACTGTTCCTAATATTTGTACAGGCACATGCCATCTATTTCGCACAATCTAAGAATCATGTTAGCAGACGACGAGACTAGCCCTTGTCTTTGTCACATACTCCAAGAACCATTCCGGTCGGAAAGATAATGCCAAAGGCAAACATCTGCAGCAAGATATGAACCCATAATATTGAATCCTACACAATCACAATTATTAGCATCGCTCAAGCACCCTCCAATCGATTGCGATACACGTACAATGGGTTCTATACTCATAGCATCTCCGTCTTGAATCTTCGACATATCTCCTCCGTGTGCGTTCGTTCCTTGTGCGAATAGAGCGATTCCAGAACCGGCCACGAAGGCAAGACGACCACCATTCATGATGGACATATTTGCACTCAGCGTTAATAGCTAACGGGTGGGCCCGTGTATTGTCTGAGTGTATAGAGTTGTGGCAAGATGAGCCAGATTTCTATTGTAATAGTTGTTCCGAAACGCGCTGATTAGGTCCGAGAGTAAGAGTAGATGCGGCTGCTATCTCAAAGACAATGAAGTGTTGAGATGATAGGTGACAGTCAAATCATGCGACGAGAATGAAAGAAAAAGAAAAACACAAAAAGGAGTTAATTAGATAGAAATTTCTTCTCACTCGTAATTGTATATAGATCCGAGATAGATAGTACTGTCGGTAGGTTTCAAGTATCTATTTCTAATTCCACGATATTAAATTGAGGCTTCGTAACCAATTCGCATCTCGCTGATCATACGACAGATTTAATTGGTGCGGATGTTTCGGCTCGGTGACAGATACATCACGTGAGGAGGATGCACAGCCACCCGTTGCTGACTTTCCCCCTTTTATCAAGACAGTACCCCTCTCGTCTGTGTGAGTGCAGATCAGCCAGAGTAGTTACTCACTTGTCTTGCATGAAAGAATGTAGATGGTATTGCTGAATCTGCAGATGCCCTCAATCTGTCAGAGCATTTACTCCTAGGGTCTCGTAGGGTTCTATGGCATATATCGGTACACTAAACAAGGTAATTATACACAGCAAGGAAGCTTACGCAATTATTAGCGGGACAGAACATTATTCAACGGATTCTATTAAACTATGCCCTTCTTTCCTCCAATGGCTTGAATCTAGCAGACTTTCTCAAGGTCTTCTTGACGACCTCAATGTTGCTATCCCAGTTATTCTCATTTGACAGTGTTCTGTGCTTGCAGTGATGTGTTGGAGATGTCATGTATCACGGCTTCGGTCTCGCTGTAAACATTCTCATCTTCACTGTGATCCGAGTCTGTTCTAGAATGGAGTACGAGTGAACTGTTTCGTCGTCGCCAGTTCTATTTCACGAGAGTTGAGTAGTTGAGTACAATCAGATGGTGTTGTCATGATCCGAGATCTGATAAGCTAATGGCATCTGCACTAATCGTTAAATAGCTAGCGTATGCTGTTACAAGCATTCTTATTGGTCATCACACGATTCTTTCCTCATCGTACATACCTCCCTGGGTAATATCTAACTAGTTGTGGCTTAAGTATCAATGTGAGCATCATCGTTATTTACCCAGTACCTATCAAAGCAAGAACAAACCATCATATTAAAACTCTTTGGGAAGCAACTTCCACATAAAAACCTTAGTGTATCCTCTGACACAAGTCTTTCTCGCTCGAAGATTGTTCAACAATCACTCAAACCCAAAACCACTGTTCTTTATATCGCAACATATCAGAGAATTGACCAAATTTCCAAGTTCGAACATTCATTCTTGACCATGGCAGCCGCAAGTACTGGTGGTACTGGGCAACCGACTAGCATTGCAACTAAAGTTTTCTCTACCCAAGAAAATGTCAGCCTAATCGGCATACCACAACTAGGATTTGGAGTCTATCAGTGCAAAGGACAAAAGTGTATCGATGCTGTCACCGCCGCATTGAGAGCTGGTTACAGGCACATCGATACTGCTCAGTAAGAATCAATACATAATATCTGTAGCGTGGTGACTACTACAAGTCTCTAACAGCTTATTATAGATACTATGATAACGAAAAGGAAGTCGGTCTCGCCGTGGCGAACTTTATGAAAGAAACCGGCGTAGAACGCAAGGAGATATTCATCACAACCAAGATCCTCACACCTGCTGGATCGGTTGAAAAATCTTTTGAGAAATGTTTGAAGAGTATTGAAGCTCTTGACAGTGAGAACTGTTACGTTGATTTGTTCTTGATCCACAGCCCAAATTGTGGAGCTGAAGGTCGTTTGGAGATATGGGACGCCCTCCACAAGCTTTACAGTCTTGGAAAATCTCACATGATCGGAGTTTCGAACTTTGGCATTGGACATATCGAGGAGTTGGAGCTTGCTAGGCCTTTCATTTCTCCTCACGTGAATCAGATAGAGGTTTGTGTTTCAAAGTGGAATATTTGCTGCAATTCTAACGATCTTAGTTACACCCTTTTTGTCAACAACGAGTTATAGTTCAATACTGTAAGATCAACGGCATTCATGTTGAAGCTTACTGCCCAGTGGTCAGAAATCAGAGAAGCAACGATCCAGTACTTCAATCGATCGCAACCACTCACAATAAAACCGTTGCTCAGGTATTGATACGATATGCTTTGCAAAAGAAATGGATCCCTCTTCCAAAGAGTGAAACTCCATCAAGAATCGCGGAAAACGCTGATGTTTTCGACTTTGTCATCTCCGAATCGGATATGAGTCGTTTGGATGCACTGGATGAAGGAAGTGAAGGCTCCATTGTCCAAGCTGTTACGAACAGATGAGGAAATTCGGATTACGGATCATCAACCTGATAAAGTGAATCTGGTGGACAACTTATCCTCCGACTCTTGGAGCCCATGTATCGGATGGGTTGTTCAATATCTATGTTATAGAACAAGATAGATCATGAGAATGATGCGCGACGTTGAACTTTCGGGGAAATTCTTAAAAGGCAATTACTGAAATATAGTTTATACCAAAGCATTGTTTAGCAAGTCTCAAGACTGAAAATTCAAACATTCATTTGCACTTTTTATGCTCCTTCATATCGGTCCACTTAGCTATTATGTATCCCACCATCGAAAAAGCCGCAGGGTATGTTGGATTTGTTGGTTATAATCCTACCTACGGCTTAAGCGCCGAGCGAACGACGATGACTAGAAATCCTCAGCCATCAACTTCCATAACCAACTGGTACAAACCACCTTAATATTTTCTCGTATTTTTGAAATGTTTCCTTTGATTCGTAAAGTTTATTGATTTCAAAAGCGTTTTCGATGTACTTTTTCAAACTAGGAAGAAGTGCAAGAATTTACACCTCCATAAAATCTCCAGACTGCCACACAAAACCTTCCTATATGCTTCACATTGGTAACATTGGTCGAGGATTAGTACCAGGACACCCGTTCATCAATTCCCCGACCGACCTGAATCTCAGACCTTGCTTACCTAGATAGTTGTGACCAACGTTGGTAAGTCATAGTCACTATACAAGCAGCTTTGCATCTCACTAACTGCATCACATACTTAAATTCACATCGTCCATCCCATTCCCTTCCCTTTACGTCAAAACCGAGCGTCCAAAAATAAATCTCAACTCAAATCGTACAATTAAAAATGTTTCACAGTAACAAATCCTCGAAAATTACTCTGCATAAGAAACTCTTTGCACCAGTATCAATTACTAGTGCTATGGGAGCTGGTTCTTCGACGGAACCTAAAGCAAAGATTCCGGTTTTGTTGTCAGCGGAAGCGGCGATAGACACAGAAGTACAAGCGGAAGCAGAAACAAAAACACAAGAACGAAATATTGTGTCTGTGTCGTCAAATCCCGTTTCTTCAGTAACAGAATCTGATGCAGCTTTGCTTCCTGCTGCGATTCCAACCGCGGTTCCCAACACTCATTCGACTACAGATAGTATAGAACCACTGGATACTCAAGCAAAAAACAAAGTTGTCGCAAACACCATTCAGATTTTACCTCCTAGTCCTCCTCGATCTCCGTTTTACTCTTCTTCTTCTGTTTCCTCCTCATCCCACCACTCCTCACGCCAATTCTCAACCCACAGACGCAACATGTCATCTACCTCCACCACAACCACCCAATTCAATTCTCCACCCCCTTCCTACACCCCTTTCATGACAACGCCTCTCCCTCCCCAGCCCTTTCCATATCACATGCAAAATCAGCATTTCCACACAAACAACTATAGATACCCAAATGAAAATATGTATAGCGATGGATTTGTCGCCGGTAATCAATTTGTAAATGCGCAGCTGAATCATCAAGTTCTTTATAGAACGGGATATGTATCCGCATCTCCTTCTCCGTCTCCGGGGCTGCAGCTTCCGGATTTGGTGGGTGAGGTGTTGAGGTTGAGGGATAGGTTGAATTTGTTGGAAGGAGGTGTTTTGGCTGCGCCGGGTGAAGCTGAGGGGGGGTAGGAGTAGGGGGAGGGATAAAAGAGGGGATATTGCAAATGATGAGGAAAGAAAAAAAAAGAAAGCGAAAGAAATAGAAAGGGAAACTCGAGAAGCGAAAGAGAGATGGGAGGAAATTGAGAAATGTGGATTGGGGTATGAGGATTTTTTGGACGAGTTTTTCGGTGCTGATTATAGTGATTGGAAGATTGAAAAGTTTGAGTTTGAAGAGGAGGGAGAGTTTGAGGGGGGGCTGCGGGTGGAATTGGGAGGGGGGATGGAAGTGGTGGATGAAGTTTTTGATGTCGATGAGAAGGGTAGGGATGAATTCGAAGATGAGGAGGATGAGGAGGGGGAAAAAGAAGAAGAGGTGGAGGAAGAAGAGGAGAGTGAAGATGAAGCGGAGGAGATTGAGAGTGAGGACGAAGCAGAGGAAAGCGAAAGTTCAGAAGAAAGTTCCTACGAACAAAGTCCAGAAGAAGAAAACCCGCCCAAACCCGAAGACACAATAACCCTCCTCCCATCCGTATTCATTAACGAACGCTCAAAGTCTCGTTTCCACCCTCCCTACTCATCTTCTTCCTCTTCCTCCTCAACCTTTCCCTCCTATTTCCCCCGCTCTTCCACCCCCTCAACACCGCAATACAATCACCAAAGATTTCAAGAAATTCCTCGAAAGGCCACACCCATAGCCCCAGATCCTCCTCAAGTCATTCTACGAACACCAGATCCATTACTTCCGGAATTCGGATGTTATTACATCATAAACGCTGGTTCTATCATGAATATAACGGTTATATATCCCGTTACTTCTTTGCCGGAAAGTATGGATGATTTGGGAGAGGAGAAGGAGGTGGTGAGATGTGTGTTGGAGGGGTGGAATAGAGGGATTATTGTAAGCCCCCTCCCCCCCCACTTTGTGTGTTTCAAGGGTACTTGTGATTTTAGGCCGTAATTCCTGCAGTATTTATTACTTATCTCGTACCAACACCACCAAGAGCACGAAGAAGACGCAAGCTGACAGGATATCCACTAGGATAAATACGGGCACCGTCCATCAAAAAGAGCATACGCTGCTATTATCTAGTAAGTCCATCCCTCACCACCCATTCAATTCCTTCTCCTCCCTTCTCCCTATCAGAAAATAACTAACCCCCTTCAGCCCCGATCCGCAAGTGCCCCTCCCCCGCAAAAAACTCCGCATAGCACTTTCCTTCACTCCTATCTATCCCCCTCCATCATCTTCCACATCCCCATCCGCTATTCCCACAACGAAAACTCCTACAAACCCAGAAGATATAACAACAGATACATCTATCTATATCAGTACTACGAATGGATGCACTTCGTTTTCACTGAGTGATAATAATGGAGTGATGGATTATACGAAGTATAAAGTGAAATATGGGAATCAGAATGTGCATGAGAGACATGATGGGATTTTGGAGGTGGAGAGATTGAGGGGGGCCTTGGGGTGTGAGGTATTTGGGAAAGAAGGTCAGGAGGGAGGAAAGGGAGAACAAGAAGAGGGAGATGGCGTGAAAAACAAGTTGGGAGACGAGGAAGAGTATTGGGAAAGCGAAGTGGTGAAGGATAAGTGGAAAGATGATAGTCACGATGTAGGATGGGGAGATGATAAAAAAGGCTTTGGGTTAGAAAATGGAAAAGAGATAGAAGGGGGCTGGATTTGATGCAATTCAACCTTACTCCCCCGATCCTCCCCCCTGCTCTCAGTAGGGGAGAACAAAAATGAGGCAAAAAAACATACAACAGTGGGGATTCGCTGGTGGTCACCCACCCAACTACTAATCCACCGATCTGAAGCTTGTGTATGGCAGAGCGGACGGGATGCCCAATTCTCTTCAGTCTGTGGTCGTATGTGATGGAGGTGAGTTCAGGTGATATTATATTTGAGAGTTGAGACGAGAGAATACAAGACGAGATATTGGTGGGATTACGTCGGCGCGAGAGGGGTGATGTTTCCTGTGGGGAAGGAACTAGGAAACTTAGAGTAGATACAGAGTCCAACAAATCGAAAGATAAAAAGGAATAATATATAAGAAGATGTAAGGAAACTTGAGGCAGTGATGCTTTGCCAAGATAAGACATAGCGAGACTCCATTTCTAAAATAAAATAAAATGAACGTTAGAGCTCATGCTAGTGTTACAACACCTTTTGCATATCTGCTCGGAAATTTCAAATCCTAATTTCAAGAAGACTCTATCATCTGATTCCTTGTGTAAAAGAAAATGTATTTGCCGGGAAATCTTTGTACGACGTAAAGTGCCAATCGCTCCACTCGAGCGAGAAGTCCTAGTCTCATTGAATCCAGATACCGTACCAGCCAGATATTTTTATGATTTGAGAACCTTGAAAAATACACATGCCGTTGTCCCTAATGTAATAACCAAAAGCCTTGAGCCATAACTGGACATGCATCTCGGATCCTATGAGGCAATAATCAAAGCCCGAATATCGCGGTCATCCCGAGATAGGAAAGCACAAGATCGAACTTTTGGATCCTTCGAGACATTTCTTCTAAATTATACAAAACCTTAAGATCCCTAACTATTCTCTTTCTTTCCTTCAGGTTCCCGTCTATCAAGAATTTCATCCACAATGCCCATCTCCAACGCCTCCTGCGCACTCAAGAACTTGTCCCTCTCCATCATCCTCTCAATCTCTTCCAGACTATGTTCCTTCGTCAAATGCCTCTTATAAATCTCATTCAGGCTCTTTCTAACCCTCAGAATCTCCGTCGCATGAATCGCAATATCGGTAGCTTGGCCTGAATATCCTCCACTAGGTTGGTGTATCATAATCGAACTATGCGGCAAACAGAATCTTTTTCCTGGTTCTCCTCCACATAGAAGAAGCGAACCCATGGATGCGGCCTGGCCAACGCAGACAGTAGAAACGGGTGATTTGATATAGGTCATTGTGTCGTAGATGGCGAGCCCGGCGGTGACGGAGCCGCCTGGGGAGTTGATATACAGAGTTATGGCTTTTTCTGGGGCATCGGATTCGAGGTAAAGGAGTTGGGCTACAACGGCCGCCGAAAGAGATGAATTTACTTCGCCATTTAGACAAATAATTCGCTCCTAATTTTTATCAGTAAGATATCCTATGATCGAAGATCAAAGCATCCGCAGGAGGAAAACACACTTGTAAAAGCTTAGAAAATATATCCGCTGATCCTCATCTCGTCAGTATTTTGTATTTCCAAACCAAATCCGTCGTAAAAAATACATACAGGTACGCCATCCACCTCCCTATCTCATTAGCACATATTCGCAAATTCATAGGGTTCTATATCCTGCTCACAATCGTCTCTGTGATATATGGTACGGGAGTCCATGATTTATTTGGTTCGGATTGCGAGGGTAAAGAAGAGATAGATCTTATTCCTGCAGAGACAGCCTTGCGCGCTGCATGCGATCGGAATACCCGTGTTGCGAGCATGATGAAATATGATTGTTGATGTGACGTCTGTAGGAGTAGTGGGGGTGATGTACTTAGATAATGAAGCTTGGTTGGGAGACGCGATTGTCGCGTTTTCGCTTGAGCTTCGATTGATTGATTTTGACGAAGATCCCGAATTTATACCCCTCCAATTTTTTGGGTTTGTTGACGACAGTGATATGTGGTATGAAGGGATGCAGGATCTTTCATGGCAGAAGTGCTGGAAGGTACTTGAAATACTCTGATTCGAACTATTCCACATCGGCTTCAAAATTAATTGTAAACGCTAAAAACTTCGAAAATATTACTTTCAGCTCTGCGGCCACGGATGACTCACGTCAGGGAGACAATGCTGATGGCATTCAAACTACGATCATAGACGGAGGAGAAGAACGAAAAAATGGATTTGGAAAAGGAACCAAGCGCCGAGAGTTACCTCTTTCACCACTCATGGATCCCTTATTTCAAGAAGCCCGAATCAAACATTCAGCTCCCAAACCGCAGCCCAAGAAAGAAGACCGAACAGCTTTCCAAGAGCAACTCGCTAAGAATCCTTATGGTATTATTGCTTCTAATTCTCTACTGCGCTTAACACTAACACGTCCTCAGCTCTCGCCCTCGCAACCCCCGTCCGTCAATGTACCGCAACACAACTCTCGCTCCCTAGTTTTTTTCTCCAAGACTTTACAATAATGGCGCATCCCACCACATCGGCTCCCTGGCACGTTCCTCGAAGTCTCTCTCCCCATTCATCCAAAGTCGAATCCTCCGAGCAAAAGACTTCCCACACCCCCTCACTAGGATCCACCACCTACGTAGCCATGCGCCAACCCCTCCTTCAGTCCTTCTTCAAGACGAAATCTGGATTTACGGGGATATACAAAAAGTTTGGGCTCATGCAGGCGAAAAGTACGGCGAGGAAACATGTTGTGCTACAAGCGACTTGGAGATCGGATATGGATACGTTTTTACTAGAATTGATGCGGAGGCGGACAGCGGAATTATTAGAGTATTTGTGTGGGAAGAAAAGTTATATACACAAATGTGCGAATTGGGAAGAAGTGGAATTCAGTGAACAGACTGGCTGTGTACTGTGGATGGGTCAGAAGCTTGCTTCGAGGGAAGAAGGGAAGCAGGGACTGGGACAGGGACAGGAACAAGAGCAAGAGGTTCCTCCTGGAGAGTTCGAAACTAAGAGAATCGGACCTGGAGGAAGGAAGGTTGTGCCTGTGTTCAATCTGAGGACAATGATGGGTGAACAGTGGATCGAGAAGATAAGAGAAGAGAATCGCATACTTGGAAATCAGATCTTGGTTGTTAAACATAAGAATGCGACTAAAGAGATACAGATGAGGTTATGGAAGTTGCAGGGTTACGTTGCTACGTATGGAGGGATGCCGGACGAAGTTGTAAAATTGTCTACGAAGGCTACGCAATCGACGAAGATCAGCACTAGGCCGACAAATATTGCCGACTCCATACATAGGAAAATTTATAAAGCTTTACGTTAACCCTGAAAGAGCCTGAGATGAAAATCAAATATATACAATTAGATTATGACTATGGCGTGATATCGTAGCGAATTTCCTAATATCCCAAAAACGCCATTACAATTTCGTTGGAGTGTCGTAGATCACAACTTCGATTGCCCCGCTTTAGTAGCATCCTCATCACATCTAGCCGAGATCCAATCCCCAACGTCCTTAGCGAAAACCTCGCGGTTATCAGGCGAATCCGCATGCAATTGATGGAACCATCCCTCATATCTCTTGAACTCCTTATCCTTCAAACTCGTCTGCTCATTAAACCACTTCTCACTTCCCTCGAAACTCGTCCCTTTATCTTCCGTTCCATGCCCTAACCACAAGCTTTTGACGCCAGGATTTAACTTCGTCTTTCCCTGATTCATTGCAGCAGTTCGATCCAACATTCCAGCTAATCCCTCTAGTGTTCCCGTGTTGTGCATCAACGTATCCTCGTCCATTGACTTTATAACCTCGGGATCTCTGGTAAGATTCTCGGGTGGAAGTCTATTCACCATTTGTTTATGGGGTAGCAATTTGCCCGCCAATCGTCCAAAGAATACGGTAAGAAAACTCGGTTCGAAGCCCTTTGGAAAGGCAATGAAAGGACTCTCCAAAATAAAGCCTCGAATGCTATTCATCAATTCCGCATATTGTGGATCACTAGCCAACGTAATAACCTCACCACCACCCATTGAATGGCCCATCAAAAAGACTGGAACTAGAGAAGGTAATTGTGTCTTAATAAACGAAACGATATCAGAGATGACCAGAGAAGTTGGACCCGTAAGACCTTTTTCGGAGGGCTTTGTGACGCTACGACCCCATCCTCTTTGGTCGAAAGCGTGTACTTCGATTCCGCGTGAGGCGAGTGTGGGAAAGAGAATATAGTAACGATTTATGTGGTCGGAGAAGCCATGGATGAAAATCAGTTTGGCTACAGGAGGAATATTAGGCTGGAGGTTAAGTTAGTTTGGATTGAGAATGAGCTAAAGATGGGAGGGGTCAACGGACTTTCCAAGTTTTGGTATAGAGAGATTGAGAACCAATCTTATGGGTTCCTTCAATTTCCGTATACATATTCAATGACTATATGATGTGCCAGTTTTGAAGATAGATTTGAATTAATTGATTGATTTGTTCTTGAGGTGAGGTGAAGTATGATGACAGGCATCTTCGGCTTTCCGGTGGTAGCTACTAGGTAGCTGAGACCCTTGTGAATCATGCGGCCGCTAGCGTGGACATAGCAGGTTGCATGTGAAAAGCGGGAGCCATCGACACCAAAATTGTTAAGTCAAACATCAAATTTTTTCGAAAAATCACGATGTCAACAACTCAACGTGCCATATCTTCTGGTACTAGGAGAATATATCCCTACAAATCAATATGTTCACCATGTAGTCGTCGGTCTTTCACTCAAAGATTAGTCAGAGGTAGGAACAATATCTTCTATCTTCAAATTTCACAGCTTTACTGATTTTTCGATTATTTTGGAAAGCCAACGACATTGTTCTGTTGAAGCCGGAGACAAATCCAAAGGCTGTACCCACTTTGTCAAAGCCTCTAAAACGAGGTGAATCTCTTGTATTCAGGGATCACAGAAAAGTCGTGGCAGATGATGTTATTGGAAAACCATACAGATCTGTAGTGGCTGGTGGTAGAAGAGCATTATTTCGCATTTATGAACCTACACTGGGTCAATATTGTGATAATGCTCCGCGGATTGTGACACCTGTAGGTTCTTTTGTTTGGAAATTTATGGTGCAATGGTTGATTTTGATAGATTTATTCCTCAGATGCAAGCTTGATTGTTTCTCTACTGGACCTCAATTTTGCGGCAGTACCATCTAAGCAATCTGAAACTACTATAGAGGTTCAGAGGCTTCGTCCCAATAGGCCACTTAATGAACGTGTTGTTTCGCAAGATGAAGGTGATTTGAAGCCGGCAACGTCTCCTGAAAGTGAAAATCTGGAGTCCACAGATATTCTAGAGAAGGATGAACTGTTGGAAGAGAACAAGGAACTCCCTGAAAAGCCGACGGAACTTACAGACGCAGAATTATTGGAGGATTGGGATTTCGTGGACCAACATAATGAAACACTGGAGATTTTCGAGGCTGGTACCGGTGCCGGCTCATTGACTTTGCATCTTGCTCGAGCGATCCATGGAGCAAACACAAGGGCTCCGCCAATACCGAGGCTTCCTAAAACAAAGGGCAAGATTACCCCAGATGACGATATTTACGGATACGGAGGCAAGTTTGGGGCGAGAAATGTGAAAATGACTGATCTATACCATGAATGGCGTTCACAGCGACGAGCCGTGATTCATAGCCTAGATGCGGATGAACACCACTCGAGATATGCACAGAGAACTGTAAGAAACTACCGGCATGGACTTTATTTCCCTCACATCGATTTTCACGTTGGTAGTATTCATGATTACCTTTCAAAACGTTTGGAAGAGACCAAAGGTGTCTTCCTCGATCACGCCATCTTAGATATACCCGGTATACAAGATGAAATGGAAATCGTGGGAAAATGCATCAAACCTGATGGGCGTTTAATCACATGGTGCCCTAGTATCACACAGCACATGAAGTGTCTGGAAATTGTAAAAGGGAAGAAATTGCCTTTCGTATTGGATCGGGTGTTGGAACTGGGGTCGCAACTTAGCACAGGAGGGCGAGAATGGGAAGTGAGATTAGCAAAGCCTCGAGCACTGATCAAAGCCGAGATGAAAGCCAAAGTTGAGGAAATGGAGAGAGAGGATAGATCTAAAACTGTATCTGCCGTTGATGAATGGCTCACTAAGATTTCAAGCAAGGATGAGGTGACCAGTGAAGATGTGGAAACATCCGAATCTGAAAGTGTCACTGTCCAAGGAAGCACAGGAGAAGCGAGTGATCACACTGATATGTCAGGATGGGAAATGATATGTAGACCTAAAGTTGGAGATAGAATAACGGGTGGAGGATTTGTTGGAGTCTGGAAGAAGATGGATATGAATGTTTAACAAACTTTGTAATATGTAACATCTTTGTATCAATGTATCAAGATAGATGTATATATAAGAAATAGCAATCTACTATAACAAACCTCGTTTCAGTATTCTTGTGGAACAACCGCTCCCGCTTCCCATGCATTCGTCTCGTGTTAGGGAAATTTATTAAGTTTGTCAGGTTAAGGTTACGGGACACTAACGACCAATTAGGATTAGCGTTGCTCATACCCCAGATCTTCAAAGAACTTACCCGTGAATAGACTAACAATGCAATCATCAAAGTCTCCCTTAACTTTTTCAATCCGCTTCCCCTTTTTTTGTTTATTAATGTGCGAGTCTTGCAATTGGAAGACCTAACCATTGATATTGAAATGACCTATCAATAACTTTATGGATGGGACACCTAAATCATTCCATCAAGACAAGCTTAACAAACTGCGTGAGCTAGAAGCCGTTTGCGCATAGGTCAATAGAACCACAGCTTGTTAAGATGACGAGAAGAATCGTAGGTATACCTTTTAAAGTTTTTATATCTCCTACTCATCTCACCCTAAATAGGTTCGCACAGCGACGCAACTCGGTGCGCTTGCTCTATTTACAATAATCGTCCTGTGGTTCCTAGATAATCGATACCGGGTTCTACCTTCTGCGCTTCATGATTATATGCCAGCACATCATCCGGGCCTAGTGATCACCGATATCACTGTCACGAAATGCTCGAAAATCAATATTTTCGCAAGCTGTAAGCTGGATTCGGATAAATGGCATCGTATCGAGAAGGACTTGTATTTGGGACAGGGTTGGGTGAATAGCGCTTACATGCATGTGCAAAGAAAGAAAGAGGAGGAACTTACGTCGGATGATAAGGTTGTTGTGGATGTTAGTGTGGGGAGGCTGGATCCAGCGACTGCAACAAAAGGCGAGGGCGATGAGAGATGGGAATCAAGACCTGCTGGATTATGGCTGAAACGGTCTGCAAAGCGCCACGCGAGTGATTCGAATGAGGCAGTCACTTCTGTGGATGTATTATTCGGAGCAGACGCTGTGGATCCAAGAGATGGATGGGAAATGACTGGCACACCATTATTGCTAGATTCTTCTGGGGAGATCCAAGAAGCCAGACTTAGCATACGAAGAGGCAAGCTCATAATGCCAAGCAAGCCAACGCCTCGCATAAGGGATAATGGGAAATTCAAGATCCTACAAGCGGCAGATTTACACTTGAGTACAGGGACTGGATATTGTAGAGATGCAATGCCTGAAGGTGGTGGTAAATGTGAAGCTGATCCTAGAACATTGGAATTCGTTGGAAGATTACTTGATGAAGAAAAGCCAGATTTGATTATTCTGAGCGGCGACCAAATCAATGGAGAGACGGCGCCGGATGCACAGAGTGTAAGAAGGCCCTTACAAAGTCTAATTATCCATCGTCTAACAGAATTAGGCCATTTTCAAATATGCTGAATTGTTTATTAAACGCAAAATCCCATTTGCGACAATTTTTGGTAATCATGATGATGAGGGTTCTTTACCCCGAGCTCAACAGATGGCATTGATCGAGTCTCTGCCATACTCGTTATCGGAAGCTGGCCCAGAAGAACTCGAAGGGGTGGGAAACTACTTTGTTGAAGTTCTTGCTCAGGGTGGCTCTAAGCATTCTGCTCTGACAATCTACTTGTTGGATACACATTCTTATTCACCAGATGAGAGATCATTTAAGGGGTATGATTGGCTGAAAAAGAACCAGATTGATTGGTTCAAACAAACTGCTTCGAGTCTGAAAAAAGCCCACGAAGGATATTCCCATATTCATATGGATCTAGCCTTTATTCATATACCGCTTCCAGAGTATAGGGATGATACCCTTGATAAAGAGGGCGCGTGGAGAGAAGGCGTCACTGCTCCCGGTTTTAATTCTGGATTCCGAGATGCACTTGTAGAACAGGGTGTCGTAATGGTTAGCTGTGGACAGTAAGTATTACATCTGCTGCTTACTAGGCTATGCTAATTAGACATATAGTGATCATGCAAATGAATACTGCTCTCTTTCTCGGAAAGAGGATGAAAGCCCAGCTCTTTGGATGTGTTATGGTGGCGGTGCAGGATTTGGAGGTTATGGAGGGTACGGAGGCTACCATCGCCGAATCCGTCTTTTCGAAATCGATATGAATGAAGCCAAGATAGTTACCTACAAACGCCTCGAGTACGGAGATGTAGAGAAGCGAATCGATGAACAGATCATAGTTGAAGGGGGGAAGCCGGTAGCTCCATCTATATGATACATACGGGAAATCGGGCATAGGAAGCAGGTGTTGGGGAATTAAAAGTTCTACAAGGAGCAATTTTTTTCACATGGTAACGGCCAGGAATTTGCATTTGGGGTTTTCGCAATCGGGGTTCTCTACTTTTCGGTGTGCTTCAAATGCTTCGCTATACTATAAGTCAAATAGTGTTTATTCGATGCAATCGTGTATAATCTATACCATCTCTCCTCTCGTGAAAGAGCGGCTTGAATTAGGCGGTTTCTAATTCGCCCCACGAATACATTTTCCTACTTCACTCAATGCCACATTATATCACGCGAATTTCCAGTAAACTTTCCAAAACGCTATTTAACGATCATGTTCATTGCAAATTCCTCATAATTCCAAGGAAATTATCATCGATGTTGTCTGCTTTGAAAGTGATTTATCGAATTCCTGTATATTAATAACAGAGTTATTTTTTTCTAGAAATATTTAATAACATTCAATATTGAGATCAGAAGTAGATAGCTCCATTGATAAAGAAGTTTGTAAGTCGGGTACCCTACTTTCAGGCCACCCCCCTTTTGGGCCACTTTTTACACCAAAAATGGAATTTTTAACTCTTTTATTTATAAATAGAATTTATTGAAAATTTGTATATATATAATTCAGATCGTTTTGAATTTAATCTGAAGTTTTTAGATTTTTAGGATTTTTCTATATTGAAATCTAAAACTTCAAAATATTGATTTTTAAATTTATATAGGAATTACATATAAATTTAAAACTTTTACAAAATCTTTAATAACTTTTTAATTAAAATTATTAAAAATAAACTAAAAAGTTTTATTATAAAAGTTTATAATATATTTATTTTGAAGGATTTAGAAAAAAAAGAAAATTTCCTATAAATAGATATTTAAAAGAAACCCTTCAAAATTACAGGGATTATTTATACTACTCTAAACTCACTATATACTATATCTTTATATCTGTTAATTTTTTTGAATTTTTTTTTGAATTTCTATATGAATTTAAATTCAAAACTTTCAAAAAGATATACAGTTTTCTTTTAATAATTATTATTAAAAAGTTATTAAAGTTTTTATAAAAGTTTTACATTTATATGTAATTCTTATACAAATTAAAAAAATCGATATTTTAAAGTTCTAGATTTTAATATAGAAAAATCCTAAAAATCTAAAATTTCAGAATAAGCCTAAAATGGCTTAAATTATATATATTCAAATTTTTATTAAATTAGATTATATATTGATAGAGATATTAATAGGCCAAAAAAGCGATTTTTGGTATAAAAGGGATTTGGAAAATATGGTATGAATGTGTATCAAGTATGTGTTATGGGGAGGGGTGTTTATCAAACATCCCGCACAACTTAAGGAAAGCATGCGACTCATCTTATCCCTATCAGCTCACCAACGTGGTATGAACATTGTCACTAGCGAGCGCACTGATCGAAGGGACAATTCCCAATGTTTCAAAGACTTTCATGAATCCAATATACAATTGATTGATCTTGAAATGCACATCCTCATTGCCCAACCTGGAATGCACTTTTTAACAATTGTAGAATATTTGAGCTGGTATTCATAAAGGTATTTTTGTGTTTAGTTCTCGTAGTGTAGGTTATGTTCTATTGGTCCGTGTATTTTGCTGTTCGGCATAGCTTCTTCCCTCTTCCGAGGCTCCTCGAGCTATATATTTAGCTGTCGAAGCTGTTGTGATACCGCGCACTTGAATGTACTTATATTAAGTACTTTCCACTCACCTCTTCACCAGAACCTTCTTGTAACACTGGAACCTTACTCCCATCACAAATCGATCAGCCACTGGAAACGCAAATGAATCTGAATATGTTGAAACGTCCCGCTGCCTCGGGCATGTCTTCATTCTTGGGTTCTCCCAAGAAGCAAGGTTTAACGAAGCCCATTGTCAAAGATTATATATCTCTCAGCGAGGGTGACTTGATTTCAAAGAAGTATTTGGAAGTTGTGCAGCTTTTGATGGATCTTAGGGGTGCTTATCAACAGCTGCAAGTTGGATATGAGGAATAAAATGACAAGCTAAAGACTCTGAACGAAGAGAATGCTACGGAGAATGCAAGGCTCGAGGTACAGATTGCGAAAGTAGCAGCTAAGCCAAGAACGAATACTGCTGCAGCAAATCCACATCGCTTGGATGTAATACAGCAGGCAAGACAACTACAGGGCGTTATGTGCAGTGCTATTAGAGCACAAATGAAATGGGCGTATGTGTTCAAACCCTTTATCTTCTAATTTTCATGATTTTGTCGCTTCTATATCTACGCGTTTTAAATTCTCTTCCCAGGCAAAATTTTATCATCTATTGTTTTGTATAAAGTTTAGCCTGCAGAAACTAAACTGACTCTGGTTTCTATCATACTAAGTTGCAAGACTTCTGGAAAAACGTTGGTCTTAGGGCTCGTTTGAATGTCAATTCCGGTCAGAATCCATTGAATAATCCGTCTTTTTCTATTATAACAAATTCTGTAGTAATACTTTTTCAGTTTCAAAAAAACAGATTCCTATATTTCGTTTCTTTTATTTATATATTGATTTTAATATAAAATTGTCACGGAGGATAGCTATGTCACTTGGTCACTTTGATTAGGAAATAGGTATATATGATGATAGTAAACTAGATTGACTTGAGGTTTGATCATAAGGATCATACCTACCTTATATACCTGGATTGAACGGAGTCGCCTAATTAGATATTAGGGTTTTCTAATATTAATAATAAAAGAGCGTTTTATAATCATAGGAGCAAGCACTTCGAAGGAGTGTAAGGCTTGATCACGTGTTGGTGGTGTACAAGACAGTGAATTCTGTGATAAAAATCTATAGAAATAAGAGAAAGTAAAATATGTATATAATATATAAGTTATACATTTTCATATAGAGAAATCCGAATTTTCATTTTTTTATTATTATTTAAATATTTAAATAAGCAAATATAAAAACAGTTTCATTTTAATTGTATTATTTTATATAAATATAAGAATAGTATTTTATTTTATTGAAATTAAAATATAAACTTTAATTTAAAGGGCTTAAAACTTCAGATTATATTTATTAAAGTTTTAAATTATATTTGTTGAAGTTTTAGATTATAAATGTTTACAAGAATTTATAAATTCATAGATTTTTCGATTAATTAAAAACAATAATTATTTCTTTTATTTATTATTTATTATTTTCGATTTGTGTTCTTATATTTTAATATCAATAAACGGAACATTTAATAGACCATTTAATATCTTTTTTTAAAATTACATCTTTCATTCTATTTAATATATTAAATAAATTAAAAACAAAAATATTTATAGAAATCCAAAATCCGTCGTTAAAATGAGCGAATTATTCAACGAAATCTAATCGGATTTGTGCATTCAAACTAGCCCTTATACTTGTATGGTTCTATCTGCAGAAGTCTTCTACACCCCTTTTAATATGGACGCCGCGACGGAGCTCGGAGCAAAGAAACATTGGAAGTAGAAGAAGATTGGTATACATGACTTCAGAAATAACGTTGGTAGCTGCTTTGTTAAGGTAAGTTTTCTTTTCTATCGCACTTGATTTCTTTGGTCTTTGATGGTAGCGTAAGGGATAAATTGTTGGATTTACATTCTGGGGGACATCTCATATATCGAGGTTCCGATCAAATACTAACAACGAAATGTAGATTCGCTACAACTCCTTGGAGCTAGTTGGTAAAGATGACATTTTGAGATGGGATGCTGGAGCAAATAGGTGAGAATTCAAGATTCTCGATGTATCTAAACATAATGCTAGATCAGTTCCATTCGCATTCCGCTTCAAAACTGGAGTGTGAAGTACTTGCCTTTTAGCCAACGAGTCCAAGGAGTCCGATGCTCTCAGTTTCGTTACCAGTGCCCAATCCAATATACCACTTCGAATCTTCAGCGGTCAAAAGCACCAATGTAAATGGATCAGTTGATATGCTCGGAGTAACTACTCTCGCCTTTTCAAATTGGACTACTAACCTTCCACTCCTAGCACCCAAAGCAGAGATCTTCAATCTCACCTTTGGACCTGGGAATGTTTTCTTTTTTGACATACCGCTGTCGATGAATGGAACTAAGATGCAGGGAAGTGTGCCGGCGCCTACAATGTGCATGGAAGAATGCTGGCTCCTGCGGCGGCGAATAGGTAAAACCTATGGTGCAAAAATTTGTGCTGGGTCGGGAGGGGATTTAAGAGGCGTTTGGGTACCTGGGAGGTGGGAGATGAGATATCGGGGGCCTTTAGCTGTGCAGGGAGATGAGAAGATTAGGTACTAGAAGGCTGTGTGAATAGGTTTTAAACTTCTTGAGATGTGCTTGAAATTTGTGTTACGATGGATACGAAAGACTTCTCTAGATGTCGGGCTCGGTTGGATTGGTTGACTAAATAGTGCTATTCCTGCTCCTATGTGGTATGACGTGCTGTTAGATCTCCCTCTACTCACTTTAGATGTGATACGCCTATGTTGCCGCGCCTCCCTCCCAAAGAAATATCTGTGATTGCCACCCGTCGTTTACAGTGAACTTCAAGTTCTGCAGCTTCTTTGTATTCTCCATGCTCCAGCACGTTGAATAGCATGCGCACCATATCGATTAGACGAATTATTGAGTAAGAAGAGCTGATGACAAGATGATTGTGTTTTCCCCTAGAGCTCTATCTCTATTGCCTTTCGTAACGTCCGATATAGCATCCCGTTGTATAAAATTTAGAGATGTTCACTGGAAATAATCTCAAGTAGTATACTGAGCTCGTATGGATGTATTCGAGGGTCTGTAAGTGGTAGAGGGACGGCGAGGATGATAAATAGAGGACTCGGTGTGGATCGTCTTGGCAAAGAGTCTTCGCTGGAGAATTTCACCACAAAAGAAGGCTGCGAAAACGATCTTGGAGAAAACATTGAGGGAAGATGCGGAAAGACAGTGAGAGAGGTCGATTGCTGCATGTTAGATGCTGTTCAGGTCAATATAATGGGTGTAGATACTAGATGTGTTGCTACCGAGGACTGCATGAGATTGAAATGGAATTTGATGTTAAACTGACCATTTCGGTCAGGAGAAAGTGGTTCAAAGTTATTTAGGGGATGCCTTTTCAAATGATATTGAGGTAGACGCTGCAGGTTTCGTAGTTAGGTTAAGGAATGATAGGGACAAGCAAGTAAAATGAGAGATTTTCCTATGTTGAATCCGGAAGGGGCGATGCAGTGATCAGACGGCGATTAGGAACTTCATGTACCTAGATATATATAACTACTGCTCTCTGCTTAACACCAATTCTTCAATAGTCAAAGCATCACATGGATATCACAGGATCAAAACAACACTTTTAGCGACACGTCATAGATCTATGAAGGGGGAATCCTTTTTGCGAGAAGATCGTCTACGAATCTACTCGGCACAATTCTTATCTACCAAATAACAATTTTCCGATGTTCACCCCCACCGAAGCTCAGATCTGGCTGAATCCGGAAACTTCAATCACAGAGATATATTAGGTTTTCGCGGAATTTGACACCAAAAAGGGTGGCTCAAATATAGTCACTCAGTAGTGCATGATGTATGTTTCGTTTGAGCTAGACAAAATGGAAGTCACATGCCAGTTCAAATAGGAATTTTGATGCGTACAGATCCAGCTCCTGTGTACTCTTCTATTTTTCATATCATTCCAATCATCACGACAGCAACAAGAATTCGTTTCAAACATAAATCTATCATTCATACATCATCTCGACAGCAAGAAGTATTCATTTCAAACATACGATCAAAGGTAAAATACATCATATTAACATTTTAACAGACTTGAAACGCAGTAAACTAATCACTTCCAACCAGTATCTGACAAAGGGAATTATGACAACCATTCGGCTTCAGACCAAATCCATGAAGGCCATACGGGCCAGAAATGAGAGAGCTAGACGCCGTAACGCAGCCTCTATACTTGCTGCTTCGGCTACTGGTAGAAGGAGGAAAAGCACTTCTCCAGCCCAGTCTGCCGCCGCAGTCAAGCCAGAGAAGCTCAAGGTTCGTAATCCGGGCTCCAATAATGCCATTGTCGCTTCTCAAGCAGTCCCCGCTGATGGACCAAAGAAGTACACGATCCGCATCCCTGGATCCAAGAAGGCTAACGCCTCTACTCAAACAATCTCTGCTGAAAAGGTGAAGGCTGAAAAGGATGATGATGATGCTGCTAGTTTTGTCCTGGCCCGAATATTGCCATATAAGCCAACCCGTCTGAGATTCACTCCTGGTAGGCCAGCAGTCATGGTTTGAAGATGAGAGGAGAGATGGGATGGAGATGGAGATGGGACAGAAGAGGTTGTAATAGTCGGGGATGGAATACCACAAATAATTGTACTGTTATACATCTTGGGAACATACTACAGCGATACCAGAAGAATCACTGGATATATCTATCTGCTTCTTCATTCTTTGGCCCTGGATCTTCAAAGACGGTCAAGTAGCTAGATAATTGAATAGATTTTTTTTTCAACTAACATTTATACTTTGTGTCATGTCTATGATCATTGTGACAATAATTTGACAATGAAATACTACAATACTCATTTTTTACATAACCACTGGATGGCCGATTCCAATATTTGGAATTTCGCGAAGAACTAGATATCAAATAAATGCTTATTCCCTCACTGATCTGTGTGCTTTGAAAACGATGTATACGATAATTGTGACAGTAACCTGATGTCGGAATTTTACATTATGCAGTTTCTGCACAATCAATCATATGTCAAATTCCAATCCCTGGAACAGAAAATCACATGAACATCCGCCTTTGAGGACTTTTTTTTCAGGATAATGCGACACAAGTGATCTCATGATAATCCCCTAGACATGAGTGGTCTCCCACTAGCATGCACTAATTCCTCGCCCTAAACTTTGCAAAGCTCCCACTAGACTGAGCACGTAAATGTAGCTGATAATATAAAATGGTTGATTGTATACCCCATTGGCGCCTTCCCTCTTTTCTTTTCACAATATTCCCATCTCAAGAATTCCATCTCGTTGAAAAGAACATAGTCTCATACATATTTCGACACCCCAAGAACTCAATACGGAGGTAAACTACCATTCGTACAACTTTTATTTCTTCCACAATAGTTTTACTCATCTAGATTTCTCACAGCGCGACACTCAGCCACGAATCATCATCTTTCATCCACCCATTCTCGACAGAACACGAAACAATGGCACGAATCGAATCAGCACCACGAATCGATCCAGCACCACGGGCTAAAATAGATCGGAGAGGCCTCGTTGCCTTGATGGCACCTGCTCCAACATCAGCTCCAGCTCCAAAGCAAAGGAAGTCCTCCAAGAGACATCCCAAACGCAGGAAGGGAAAGACTTTGATCACAAGGGCAGTCGACAAACTCACTGCCGTTCTCAAGAGGCCACAGTCTACCAATATTGAAAAAGCTGAGGCCTGTTTCAAAGTCACGTTTGAAAAGATGCAAGCATACGAGCAGGAGCAACAAGGCAGGGGGAAATGGAACGCCGCTGCGGCGAGGAAACTCGAAGCTAGACTTGGCAAGACCTTTCATGAGGATAAAATGAAAGAATATCTTGCTGCTGCGGTTGAGGAGCGTAATGGGGCGTCTGATATTTACTGTGGAGTTCCTCCTAACCAGCCAGAACATTATCGGACGCAATATTTGCAGATAGAGGAATACTGGAATGAATACCCTGCAGGCAGGGTAGATGCATTCATTGTTTACAAGTATGATATGCCAAATGGTCATATCAGATTTGCGTTGGAAAATGGAACTCAAGTTAAGACTGGGTTTTTGTATGATGTTCATTTTTATGATAGATATGGAAGTCAGATAGAGTTGTGATCACGAAGGATCTCTTTTCTTCATTTTGGCAAACATGTTTTTCTTGTATATACTGGTATCAACAGAGCGATAAACGGAGAACTCATGACCATACACTCCATAATGTGATGAATAATTGACACAAAGTTGTCTTTGCATTTGGTGAAAATTAATTGTGTACCAAGATAACTAGTAACATCATACGTCGTACAAGCATCCATATCATTACAGCTATAGCCACAGCTTATCGCACAATTTTAAGCTTCCAAAATGGCCGACATTCCGGTATTGAATACAAATCACACACTTCTCAATTCAGAACCTCGACCACCCTTTCCTCATTTCATTGGGTTGAGACTAGGACAAAGCTTCAAATGATACTTGTTCATCAGGAAAAAGTTTCACGTGGACCCTTCAGCAATCTCGCTCGCTTAACATCACCCGGCTCGCCTAAGTTACCCCCCAAAAAACCATGGTATCAAAAAGGTATTGAGTCTGTAACCTTGACCTCTATCATATAATGATTGAATCCGTAAACTGAAAAAACGCTATCGAAATTTTTGCTTCACGCTCTAAATGATATGTCTCAGCTTACCAAACAAAAACTTCGAGGAATTAAATAAGATTTTTATTTGACACATTGAAGTTTGGTGGGGTAGTTAGGCAATCGCGGGGTTAATGCCATAAAACAGACTGCTCTAGATACACAATTATCAATGATTTTATCAGTATAGAACGTACTACAGGGATTTTAATATGAAAAAATATGTGAAATTGGTGCAATGAACAAACACAACGATTTGAAGATTTCATAAAAGCTTAGGTATCTCGCTAGAGGACAACTCCTTCCCTTAACTCGCAACCAGAAATGGCAATCTTGCGGCATGCGATATTCCGATGATTGCCCAAACCTTAACGTATTAGTCGTCTTTCGCCACTCATTTTGCGTTCTTTCTGAATGTAACGGTTGTAAGAAAAGATATCTGTATAAATCAGGATACTTGTGAAATGACAAAGGAATTGATATTTTTGCGTGAAAAATGATGTTCTACTGTGACTAGTGCTAAGAATCAGGAGTAACAAGCGGACTAGGGATGAAAAGGTAAGAGCTACCTTATACTAATTTCTTAACTTAATCTAAAGTCCAAATAGAAATCCAAGGCCCCATATATGAGAGACATTTCACCCTCAAACCTCTCTCTTCTCACCCGCATACCATTTCGATTTCAGATATCACTATCATAGCTATCTATATTCACTTGAAATAAATAGATTATACTATTAATTTAACCATCATCACGACAAAATACGGATAAAAATGACATCGCCAAAGTCGACCTTGAAATCAAAGGCTAAAGCTCCAGCCTCAATCTCTCATCTTGCAGCTGCACCACTGAGTGCTCCTTCTTCAACACCTATAGGAACAATGCCACTGACTAAGGAGTCAGCCATTATAAGACTCCAGCCCAAAAGCAAGCGCGCTGCCTCACCTACTCGCTCTGAAGATGCACCAGTCGATACTTCTTCTTCAATGCCTACAGAAACAATTCCACCGACCAAAAAATCAACCAAAATAAGACTCCAGCTCAAAAACAAGCGCCCTGGCTCACCTGCCCCTTCTGAGGGTACACCAATTAGTTCTTCTTCTTCTTCAACGCCTACAGGAACAATGTCACTGACTAAGAGATCGACGGAGATAGATAATCTGCTCAAGAGAACTGCCGTTAAGCGCCCTTTTACATGGCCACGACCACCTCCGTATATATATGATCGTGATTCTACCAGACCTCATAGAATGACACGAACAGAGGCACCGTTGGAGCCAGAGCTCCAGGGCCACGGGAACGAGGGTCTTTTGGGGGAATAAGTTATAAAGCGGGAATGTATAGATGGATGGATAGGGGTACAAATGTATTTATGCATGTTATAGAATGGAAAATTGGCAAGGAATGGAATCTCACCAATGAATCTGTGAAGTTAACCCAGATGTGAGTAATTGTTGAATTCTGATTGTTGCCCACGTTAATATCAGAGTAGCTGTGAAAGATAGTGGAATCTTCAATGTCTGAAAATGGAAGGCGCAACTTGAGTCGTTTGAATAGTTGTATTCACTTCAGAGATTGAGAATGGAAATGTTGGTTATTTGGCAAGTTCACATAGTGCATTATGGCACACAAGGTTTACCGAAGTTGTCTGTAGAACTTCAGCAATTTTCCTTACCTAGAAGATAAACATGCTATTAAAATACAGGAATTTTGTGTGAAATATTACAGTTGTTGAACTTGCAATTCCAAAAATACTACTTTTATATCACATCTCCCATTTTCGTTCCTATTGTTGTCTTCACAGTCACTGAAGCTTAAAGGGTCCTTAGTTCGAGACGTCAAAGAACTCTCAAACATTACATAAGCAGATAAGATAAGGTTAAGCAAGCGAGGCTGAGGAACCTCATGGAAAGGACAGCTTTTGGACTTGGGTAATAATTTTAAGGACACACATATAACCCAACACAATTGCGACAAGCAGATTCCTGTCGACAACTTCTCAACTCAAAAATCTTGACTATCAATCAGACCATCGCAATCGATAAAATGGAGGAAACGGAAACTTTTACCCTTTTACCATTACATATCGATTATCAATCGAAAGCCCTATCCACCTCCTCCAATTCCAAAGCCCTCAATGAAGAGTTGGAAGAAATCAATACTCTCTGCCGCACTCTCCTCGCGATAGAATCGCCAATTCCTCCTCCACCTGTCCCCGTAAATCCAAAACGTTCCGCCGGAATTACCAAATTGCGAGAAGCAGGCAATGGCGAGTTTCGAAAGGGGAGACATGGAGAAGCTATAAAAATGTATACTCTAGGTTTGGAAATGGCTCTCAAGAGACCCCTTTGGGAACCATGTGGCTTGGTTAGAGATGAGGTATCGGGATTGTATGCGAATAGAGCGCAGGCGCATATGGCGTTGCAGAATTGGGTCGAAGGGGCTTTGGATGCGGAAAGTAGTGTGGAGGCGAAGAGGGGAGGGAATGCAAAGGCTTGGTGGAGGAGAGGAAAGTGTTTGATGGAGATGGGTAGGTTGGATGAGGCGAAGGAGTGGCTTGGAAGGGGATTGGAAATGGAGAATAATGAAGGGGATTTGGTGGCTTTATTGAAGGAGATTGAGGCGAAGGAAAAGAAGACTTTACATGTTTGATTTGAAGGGTATGTGGGTGGAAATGGTATGGGGATATGTATGGAATAGAGATTTGGAGTCGAGGCGTTTTTTTGCTGGGTTCAGGGATTCATTTACATCTAGTATGTATGTGAATTAAATATCGGTTTGACTTGGCTGGGAGTCCAGTATGCAATACTTGCAGAGATTTATGCTAAGTGCTTCAAAGATTTTGAAAGTCAGGAACAGCATTGAAATATCACTCCATCTGGTCATTAATGTCTTGAACAGATTCAATTTCGAATCTTTACACTTGAACGTAAATATGTCGCTCTCGCTTCATACCTAGAAGATGTACCTGAGAAGGTCGGAATTGTATCAAACTTGTAGTGACATTCATATCCTTATTGATCTATATCTACTTCTGATTCCACAAATCTCAATCACCGTTATTATTTTGGATTGTCACTTTAACATTCTCTCCAACCTGCTAAGCATTAAGCATCTCCTGTCAACAAACTCAACTCTACCCCTGAGATCCATATCTCACCCTATCCTCCCAAAAGCACAAGCAGCCTATCAATTCTCAGTCCCGATTTCTCATCTCCGTCTCGAACTCATAAGACTCTCTAACGGAGCCCCTCCATCAAACGCTTGAAACATCCGATCTCGTTCGTCGGGCACCAACTCCCATTTCAACATATACTCCACAAGCACATGTTCAGCACTCGATTCATCCGCCGAGAGTGCCTGATGCTCCCGTGCACTCAGCATCCCACACTGACCTGCAAGTGCTATTTCTTCCAACTTCAATCTATGGAACATATCCTTGCGTTGAGCATTATTCGACTCATCATATGGTGGTTTGAGATCGATGGTTTCCAGCTTGGCGATTCCTCTAGCAATATTCTTCGCTAGGTGAAGAATACGTGCTGTAGCATATCCTTCATTTTTTAACGTGGCTAGCATATCCCATTCTTCATCCAGAAAACTGATATCCGAATCGAAATATTCTCGAAGTGACTCCGGCGTTACATCTCCGAAAGTTCTAGCCACATCAATCGTTTCAGCAGACGGAAAAGGATAATAACTCGTTCTGGTAAGCAGATACCTATTACACTCTCTCTTACACTTCTCGCTCATTTTCCAATCCCCAAACCCCCGATTCAATCCCTGAATCACCACATGCATGAAAACATCCATCGGACAGCACCCCAGCATCTCATGATACTCATCAATCGGCGACTCGGACAAGTAATCTCTCCACAATAATACATAATGCCATGCCTCTCTCGCACCCAATCCATCCTCTCTCACCATTCTCATAATCTCCCGGAAACCATACGATGTATTCGCAGAATACGCAGCGAGGATCTCCTCATCGGATCGGGACATGCCACTTACATCTTCGATGGAATTGGTGCTAGAAGAAGAGGGGATTAATGTATATTTTCCAATCCGAGAACACCATTCTTCTGGAACATGGGAATCAATTCTCGTAGCTGCGTTTTCGAGATATAGCTGCCATTTGCCTAGATGATCGAAGGCAGTGATAGCAGGTCTTTGAAGCATTTCTGCTCGGCGGACAGTCGCAGTATTTGATTCTCTCTGCGCACGGGAGAAGAGAGTGCGTCGATGAGCGGGAATAGTATTTCGTGCAGACGCAGGAGAAAGCGCAGCGAGTTGTCGCTCCAAACGCAGATCCTCAAAACTGGTACTAGGTCGTAAACGCGGTGCGCGCGTGAGCGTATGTGGATTTTCTAGATTGTATGGTGATATATCTCTACTTTCTATCGGAAGCGCAGCACGGATCCTCCTTTCGGCAAGTTGCAGCTCGGCTCTACGTCTAGCGAGTTGGATCCGCGTAGTGATGCGTGAGAGATCGTCTTGGTATCCGGTTAGGATTTGAGAGAGATCTGGGAGTTCGCTATTATCGTGCGGTGAGATGGCTCGTGGGGTATTACGATTTGTATTGGATGACTCGGGATTGGGATGATTTCGTGAGATTTGATATGCGGCGAGTTGTTCGGCCATTGATGGTTCGGCATCCTCAACATCTTCGACATAGCTTGGTTGTGATGGTGGTCTTGTCAAAATCGTGTCGAGATCGATTTCTACCCCAGACTGTTCCATTCCGAAATTGACTCCTCCACCCGACAGGATCTCGGGTCTCGTCAAATCAGTGCCCAAAATTTGATTTCGCATCCCACGAACTTGTGACTCTAAATCAATAAGTAGACCCTCAACAGAAGGATAAATATCTTGTGCTTCAACCACGGATGTCACTTCTGGAGATGCAGAAGCTAATTCTCTTCGTTCTCTTCTAGCTCCAGTGTCTGCATCAATGCGCTCATGAACTGACGAATCTGTATTGTTCAAAGGATTGAGAAGTACCCGGTCTTGAGGCAGCGAAATAGTACCGTCTTGATTAAATGTAAGAACTGGTGGTCTTGAAACGGTATTTGCAGAACTTAGATCTCTGGGTCTCGAATCAGCGGTCTGAGATGTCCAGACATTGCCAGCTTCAATGTGATTCTCTGTATTGAAATTTCTCCCTTCTTCCCGCGCCTGATCCTCAAGTCTCCGAATCACCAAACGCGTCAGAACACCACGTATTCTATCACGCGATACAGGACTAGCTTGACGAAGTCGCTGACTTTGGACTTGAATCCGAACCTGGAGAACGCTTTCTGAATCTACATCAATCGGTTCTTCGTTCTCGAGCTCGACGATAGACGATGGGTCGATTCTGTGAGCTCGGGGTGAGATTTCCCGGTCTCTTCTATTTCTAGCCACATTATCTTGACCTTCTGTTAGAGTGATAGGCCTATCATCGCCGTTTACCCGAGTTTCGTATGGTGGTGGAAAAGGTAATCCTGATCCTGGTCGCCATGTTGTTGGGCTTGGGCTTAGAGCTGCTGGGTGGTGTCGCCAATGGGGACTGATGGATTGTCCTGGGAAGTTTTGAGAGTGGCTTCGTTGAAGACGGCTTTGTTCGGGACCTGTTACTAGTGCCGGCATCGACCATGGTGTGGATGTCGATGAGGAATTGAGATCTGAGTTATCGTCCGCGTCGTTCAAAATATGGTTTGGAAATTCCGGCGCAACTGTTTGGGAAGGATCAAGTAGTGGATGAACGTATTTTTCGAGTGAGCGTTGTCGCGCAAGACGGTATGCAGATATATAGTCGAGGATAGTGGTTTGCGGGAGAGAAGTGATATGAGCTAGAGTTAGGTTTGGTTCAAGGTTGGGGTTGAGATTGAGTGCTTCGAGAGGAGGTGTTGGTACTGATGTTGAATCTGGTGTAAACGTCCCATTAGATGGAATGTCTGTGGCGACTGAGACAGGCGATAGAGTTCTAGCTCTTGGTGTTTGTGAACGTCCTCTTTGCTCATATTCGCCCTCATTCTCGCCCTGTTCATTTAAATCTCCGTCAGCTTGGTTTCTATCCATCGTCGTATCTATATTAGCTAGTTCCGAAGACTCTGAAGCTGTATGTTGTTCTTCCGCGTCGAAGGAGGTAGAAGATTGGAGTATTGGTGTAGATGGAAGATCAACAGAATCTTGAGCATTGAGACCTTCTGAGTGGGTATTTAGTGGTGATATTTTAAGTAACGAGTAGATGTATATTGATTCGGTGTAAAATTTTTAATATCAAGACTCTGATATTACTTGATGTTTGATATATCTCCTGTAAAGTCCAATGTCAAAGTATTAATGGATGTTTTTAAATGAAGAAGAGCAGACCCAAGAGATCCTTTTAAGCAAAGAGGTATTGTATCTGGGAATATCTGGATACGGCGATTACCACTAGGGTTATTCAAAATTGATATTCATGCTCAGGTACGGACACTTGAGTGAATCGATTGTAAATTTCAAATGCCATGTTTTTTAGGCGGCAGTATTCACATATTAGTATTTGGTTGGATTGGATGACCGATCCAGTGTATATACATGTGTTCTTTCAGATGTTATATTGGCTGATTCTATCACTGCCGTGTGTCGTCATATGATAATAGCGTAGATACAGAAACCACTCCCGTCATCATTCACAGAAATCATCTTCCTTCATAAAACCCTGCCACAAGTGTTTCTTTTTAAAGATAGATACATGCATGCGAACATCTAATAAAGTTGATTTCTGGTATAACGCATCTCCAAAACTCCCAGAATTAAAAGCGCTGCAACTCGATTGCTAGACGATCAAATGCAATGAGATACAATGCGACAAAACGTAGTAGGTATAAAATACACACATCTCAAATGCTTGCTTGGTATATTGAATACACAAAAAAGAACAACCGCACCCATCATTTCCATTTTAATCGTTTCCATTACAAAGCATGGACTTAAATCCCACAACCTTCGTCCCCTAAATGCGTATCATTTCTAACTATCAGAAGATTCCGACTCCTAGAACCCGCCAGTGAGCCAAATGCTTGATCTGACGCACAGAATCTCTCTCGCAACCACTCCAAAGTTCTCATCATCTCACTTTAACCACTACTCAGGATCAGCGGAGTCTCCGTGCTTCCCCTACTAAATCTTGTTCTACTGTTTTCTCCTCTTTCCCTGTTCCTATTGTCGTCCCCGGGAACTTCAATCTCATCCTTGATCCTACTAGTAAGATATGCTGCAAATAAGGTACTGATACCACCCGCGGCCATAACCACCGCAAAACTTCTGTCTCCTGGGATCCCACGGGGCTTTTGCATGAATTTAAAAATAATACTGCTACCCAGTGTCGCGAGAATTTGAGGGGCTGCAACGGACATGTTGTGAATACCGAGGATGATACCTAAGAACATTGTTAGAAATTGACAACAGAGAAGAAACATGTACGGAATGACAATTTAAGAACAACTTACCAGCTTGATCTTCATCCAAATCATCTTCGCCAACTACCGAGTGCTGGCGTGCTCTACGTACAGCATCACGCTTACTAACTTCGGCGCTGATGATAGCAAATGGTGCCCATAATGTCATAGCCCACGATACACCAACTAATGCTATTAAAATAGTGGCTGCTGTAATGGATCGTACGATGAGAGTTGAAAACATGCATGCCGCAAAAAGCAAATGGCTTATGAGCCATGCACGACGAAGGGTCAGGCCAGGAATAGCGAGATTATCCATAAATCGTGAGAAACGTGTCGTGTAACTCTTATGAGAGTATATTGACGCGGCTGATGAAGGCACATCATAGGAAGGGGTAATGAAGAAGGGTAAAATGACGTTAACAGACAACGATGTAATAGCGTACATCAAAAGGGCGAAAGTTCCAACACGAGTAGCTTGCTCGTAGAGCTTATCGATTTCTGCTGGAGTCATATCGGGATTTTCTCTTAAATATGGCTGAACATAAATATCACCGACATAAGAGCTCGAATAAAAGAGTTGAGGGAAAAAGCCAATCCAAGCAAAGAACTCGACCTCACAAACTTGACGAGTTAAAGGAGGTAAGCGCCTAATGGAGGTGAAAACTTGTTTGAAGAATGGGATAAGTCCTGATTTTGCTTCAGGTGGAATTGGCTCGTTGCTTGGATCACGTTCTTTGATCGTAACACTGCTTATGGTAACAGTGGTAGTCAGAGCCACGCAAGCCACTAGAGAAAGTATCTTGAACTGGGTATTTCCAAAAACCCAAAGATACTTTGGGAGGTCAATATAACCGGCGAGGTAAGCAACAATGTTACCAATACCTATGACGCGGCTTGCGAATGAGTTCGCAGTTTCTGAAGATAGGAGTTAGTTCTTTTCAGGAAATAGCATGCGAGTGTTTCTAGCAAAAAATACCTTGTTGGTGACTAGGGGCACAATCAAGAATATAAGCTCTGATTGCAGCTTGCACTAACAAATGTCAGTAAATTCTCTAGTGTTAGTATTTTGGCACAAACCTGTAGCTATAGCAAAATCTAAAATATAAACCAAGAGAACAGCGACAACGATGATTGAAATTTTGACGCCTTGAGATTCTTTATCCGCGCTGAATAATCCTAGAAATCCACCAACTATCTCTCTTACCCAAGCCAAGGTAATTAAAGATAGGACTGTCGCGACAGTACCTATGGCCATAAAGGGTCGTCTTTTACCCCATGGTGATCGACATCTATCACTTAATATACCAATATATGGTTGGACTAACGCTCCTGACATCGGTCCAGCGATCCATACTAAAGCCATTAATGACTTGCTCAGACCCAGTGATAAAAGGTATGGAGTTCCATTGGATAATTCCACTCCCCAAGCGACTTGCAAACCGCCGATACTAAGGGTCAAAAGTATCATGTACCATATCCCCTTTGTTTCCGAGAAAGTATCATGGACATGATTTAATATGTTGCTGCCGTGAATGAGACCTTCTTCCTCTTCTTCCGATTCGGATGCGGACAAAAGCGGTGACTGTTCGTTTGCAGGTTTGTGGTCCTCCATTCCAGTCTGTTCATCCCTTTTCGAGTCGGCACTCTGCATTTCATCGTTCCCCTCCCCTCGATCATTGCGCGTGTCACTTTCTGCCATATTCTTTGTTGTAGAAAAAGAGTACGAGACCCAAGTCGCGGATTCCGTTCAACGACTCTCAAAATCCCCTTTTGAGTTGACCGCAAGTCCGTGGGATCACTGGAGTTGTCGTTTTGCTGTTGGATTTTGTTTGGAGTTTGCGGTCTGTTATAGGTAGTATAAATCGACAAGGTTGTCAATGAAGATGCAAGGCGCAATGACAACAAGGGGTCTCAGACATGAGTTGGCTCCTAAGGGTTCTAGGCATCACGAGGCTGGAGTGGGCTGCTGTGCACGCGGATCAGCTTCGTCTGCTGGGATGGTCTGGTGGATCAGTGCGCAAAATCAAATGGGTATGAGGTGCATCGGAAGATTCGAGATCTGTACATGTGCGTGGTCAATACGATGTAACACAACTTGACATGTCAGGATAATTGTAGATTGCGGAGATGCGTTGAACGAATTGTACTTTCTAGGTAATAACGAGGCTGCGACATTCAAAGATGCATACCAGTAGAAGGTACTGGGTGGGTATGGAATGAGTCAAGGTCCCTTGTTAATTGATGTGATGTGATGAGATGTGACGTGACGTGACGGTTGATGATTAGGTGAGATGCTGCAAGTGACATGATTCGATCAGATAATCTCAGCCTCGCCACTCGGAGTAAGTAAGGCTGTAAGGTACGTGATCAGCCAATCACGAGAAGAGACAGGACACTATCGTACAAAGTGGTGGTCGGAGCCTCTCAGACATTATTACATGTACGATGTACGGAGTACAGAGGAGATGCTTGTGGATTCGTGGAGATGGACAAATCATACGAGGTATCAGGTATCAGGTAGACAGACTATGGGCCATAGCTCGTGGTATGCGCAATGAGAAACAAACGCGACATGGCAATCTTATATCAATTTCACACATAACCGCCCCCACTATCTATGAGGGTGAGGGCGAGAAATACTACAAAGCATATTGGCCCAGTATGGTATGAGGGGATGCGGAGTTGAACACGGTACAGAGTACAATGTGAAGTTTGAACCAAGCAAACATCAGACTCCTGGTATTCCAGTACAAAAGAGTAGAAAGACACCAAAGACACAAAAGATACAAGAGATTGTGGCTTCCTTTGAGAATGATATGTTTGTTAAACACATAATTGAAATAATCCATTCTGCACCATTCGCAGATTTGGATGCTTTTGTCGTAATTGAATTGTAATCAGCAAAATGACAATCTGGCCAGAGAGATATTGCGTACTAACAATGATGGTAGGTAAGAAGTGTCAGATAGCTTGATCCAAGTACTAACACGGAACCGAATCTTTGATAAACTACCTACCTACCTACCTATCTACCTACCTACCTACCTACCTACCTACCTACCCTTCCCTACTCCACCAACTATCTCCACCACGAAACCCACAAACTTCAGAATTACTTCGTACATCTAGAACACCCCTCGCCACTTTCAAACTATTAGATATACATGCGTCGTTCTCTTACTATTCGCTGCTCGTCTCTGAGCGACTGTACAGTCTTTCGCAATCTTTCGCAATCCTAACCTTACCACATTACTTCGATAAAGTTCGCGATATCACAACAGCTATCTCGATAATACTCTATCCATCATGTCTGCGGCGATCGCCGGCTCGGTCTTTGAGCTTCTGAGTAAGTTTGCGATTCGGTCAATCGGGGACTTTTATGTGCGGCAGCTAATGAGTATGCTTTAATAGAAAGACAATCCGAAGAAGAAGATCCCGACGGTATGCTACAGTCTTTCCAGCACCAGAAGGAAATCCCCGAATGACAACTAATCCCATTCCATAGCACCCGATTCATCGCAGAAGGAAATCTTCTCATCATGGGCTCTCTTCATCTTGATTATGCTACTCATCGTAGCTCTCTTCACAAGTTACTTGCTTCAAATCAAAAAAGTTGAAGCGGTGCATGAAACT